TGCCTAATGAAGCCAAGGAGGCTGTAATAAAGTCTACAAAACAAAAATATCTGCTAATATTTTTTGCAGACTTCTTTTGTGAATCATCCGTATGTTATGCAGTTTCTCATATAGACTTTTACGTAGCCTATGCCATCTGCAGGGATAGATCTCTGCTGAACTATTTTACAGCGTAAATACTTGAATTACAAGAAGGTAACATATGTGAAATCTTGAATAGTCTGAATAAGTGCTACACAAACATTATAGTTACATAGGCATAGGTTAGCATTTATGTGTAGTACATACCTGTGGTCCCATAGTTTGGGCTAATTATCTTAACATTATTTTTGATCACAGAGATCTTCCCACCTGGTCTTCAGATACACCCTCAACTGAACTTCATTAGGTTCATGTCAGTTCACTGAGAACACATTCTGTCAGCTTCCCACCTCTGTCATGAAACTGGGCATGCATCTAACCATTCTAAAATAATGTTGGTAGTGATAATTTCAAAAGCAATAATAATTAAAAACTGGGCATACTTATGGGGATTATTGGTATAACAGCATCTCCAGTCACATTTTGAATGACAATATGGACAATCCATTGGCTGGTATGATGAAGGTATTCCATGACTGCAGTACAAGGGAAAGTGTTGGAGATAATTTAATAAACAGCTTTCCGTTTTTAAGAGTGTCTTCCACTCATCAAGTCGGTGTTTAGGATGCACAAATCTCTCCTCAGAGTTTATTTTCTCTGGAAACTGTATGCCTTATAAGTAAAATACAAGTTAAATTGCCCATATAAATAGACACCACCATTGTCACAACCACTGCTATGGACTGGAAAGGACTCAATGAAAGGACGGGGGGGGACACTCTTTAAGCCCCACTTTAGCCCCCGTGACCAAAGCCTCTTCAAAGGGTAACCCATAAGTTTTAAAGTATTTAACTAGTCAGTAACTTAACTTAGAACATCATTTTTAACCCCACTCTTCGTCCAAGAAGGGCAGCGTTCCACGTCTCTCCCCTCTCGTCCATTTTATCCATCGGTGACTGGCTCAAGGTTACGCATGGAGGGATAAGAACCGGGTTTGGCTAAAACCCACACAGGCTGTCAATATGCAACACTCAAAGGATGGATGCTTTTCTATTTACCTTGCCCATCTACTCAGCCAAGATGTGAGGTGGGGGGGGGATTTTCCCGCCCCTCTCTCAGCCGCCCCTCTCTCAGCCACCCCTTTTGCTCCGGTAGAGCTACCAGCCACTCCGACTCGCACGGTTAAATCACTCCCTCTTTTTGCTATGTTTGGTTCCTGTTGCCAGGAGACGGCGCTGTGCATGACGGGAACACAGTCTCCCGCGTGCGGGTGGAGCCAGAGAGGAAGGGGCGGGGAATAGCTGGGGGAGGGAACGCGGCCGCCCCGTGGTGACGTGTCCTGAATTGCTCCGCCCCTTCCTCTAGTCCTACCGCGTGCCCCGCGTTCCAGCCTTCCGGCGGGGGTCTATTAAAAGAACGCTCCTCACGCAGGTAACGTCGCGCCGCCCAAGCCAGTGTCCGCCTCCCCTCCCCCACCTCAAGGCGAGGTGGCCAAATGGACGAAGGAGGTGGCCCCGCCCGCTTTCGGTGCTCTGCCTGCTCGGGCTGATAAGCGGAAGTGCCCGGCAGCCAGGAAGTGGGCCGGAGGAGTGCAAGAGCCGCTTATAGTTGCAGAAGTGCAATTGGTCTTGCTGCCTCTCTCGCTGCACTGCCTGCAAGTTAGCTGTTAAGGGGCGTAGGAGCTCTGCCAGGGAGAAAGGGAGGCAAACCAAACAGGAGGAACTAACTCCTGGAGTAAGGGCCATATTTCTAAAACTGCAGACAGAATGGTGTAAGAATTGTTCAGCGTCACACAAACAAATCCCTTTGGTAGATTCAGGTGGGTAGCAGTGTTCCCTCTAAGCTGAGTTAGTCTGAGTTAGCTCACAGTTTTTTAGCCTCCGGCTCACACATTTTTGTCTTAGCTCAGGAAGAATGGCTCGAGAGCAAACTAATTTATGCAGTAGCCAAACTACCTGCTCACAACTTTAATGGCAGTAGCTCACAAAGTAGAATTTTTGCTCACAGGACTCCATAGCTTAGAGGGAACATTGGTGGATGGCCGTGTTGGTCTGAAGCAATAGAACGAAGTTTGAGTCCAGTGGCACCTTGAAGACCAACAAAGCTCAATTCTGGGTATAAGCTTCCGTGTGAATGCACACGTTTTCAGATAGTGCTAACTAGACCGATATTTTCTCGTTTTAACTGCTTTTAGCTATCATTGCTTATATAACTACTTTTAATTGTTGGATGTGTTCTGTTGTTGTTATTTGCCCTGAGCCTGCTTGTGGGAAGGGCGGGATATAAACCGAACAAATAAATAAATGCATTGAAGCAGACGTCCTCAGCCCTTACATGTTGCTACTTATATGTAAGTTTTGAGGCAGTCTGTTTCAGTGTGTCGAGCCACAGCCTCCCAGACTAGCAAGCAGTGCTCAGACTCATGGGTCCCTGAGGTTAAATGCGCACAAGACCAAAACCTTTTTTTAAAAATGCACACAGGTTTATTGAACAAACAAAGTTAGGGATACTGCCAGGTGACACAGTCTCTAGGATCAAATAGCAAAGAACACAATAAAAGCTAACTTTTCTTCCTGATGCTTCAGTACCTGACATTAACTGGTGCATCATTCTCAATCGCTCAATCCAGGCTAGAAGTTTATGCGTCTGTACCATGGGATCTAAAGTTAAATCACAAACATCTGCAAGCTGAAACAGCCCCAATTAGCATTTGTTTTAACCCGTAGTGAAACTAGGGTGCTTTGCCTCACACAATGTATCTGAAGAAGTGTGGATGCACACCAAAGCTTATACCCAGAATTAACCTTTGTTGGTCTTAAAGGTGCTACTGGACTCCCAACTGTGTTCTATCCCTTTGGTAGCTGTGTGAGGGGCAGAAATCCAGCAGACAGTGTTTTCTTCATCAAGGCATCACCACTGCAAAGGAAAGCCAGTGGTTAAAATGTTGGAGTAGGAGACGGACTTTCTAGGTGAGCCACCCACACACTGTGCCTCACAGGACTGTTGTGAAAATAAAATGGACGAGACAAGAATTAAGGGTCAATTCACACAGCCATTTCTGAAGACCCCCAGATGATGACTGTCACCATTGCCACAAAGTCAGTGTGGTGTGCTGGTTAAACTGTGTCAGACTAGGATCTGGGGGACCCAGGGTTTTATCCCCATTCTGCCGTGGTAGCTTCTTGGTGCTTGCCAGAGAGCCAGCTTGGTGTAGTGGTTAAGAGTGGTGGATTCTGATCTGAGTTTTGATTCCCCACTCCTCCACATAAAGCCAGCCGGGTGACCTCAGAACTCTCTCAGCCCCACCTACCTCACAGTGTGTCTGTTGTGGGGAGAGGAAGGGAAGGTAATTATAAGCCACCCTGAGACAACTTTGGGTAGAGTCTAAAACCAACTCTTTCTTCTTGATAACTTGGGCCGGTCACACAGCCTAACCTACCTCATAGGGTGGTTGTGAAGAAATGATACAGGAGAGGAGGAACCACGTACACTGCCCCAAGCGCCTTGGAAGAAGTGTAAGATAAAATATATGAAACAAATCTGGCTCCCAAATGTGTTTTATGGTCTGGCGCTGCAGCCCAGATGGATGGAGCTGTTTTTGGCTCCCCTGCCGTATGGGCTCCATGCTAGCTCTTCCAAAACATATCTGTGAGGAGGGTTTGTGAGAAATGTAATGTAAAAACTGAGGCCTGGAATCTGCCACACATACCTGTAGCAATATCCAGGAGCAGCTGGAAATATGGGCTGTGCCATACCTGTACTTCCTCACATTCCTCGAAGTTCTTGTGCACGCTCACAGCAGCATTAAGTCTTCTAGGATGCGGTTCAGATTTGCCATGAGTTCTTCCCACTGTCTCCATCTCCACACACGCAGGTACGTTTAGGACAGAGCTTCCCAAACTTATTTGGCCTACCGCCCCCTTTTCAGAAAAAAAACTACCCCCCTCCCCCCCAGAAATCTACCTTCAAGAAGTGGACAAAAAGATGCAGTGACAAATTTGCACGTGGTAAAGATGTTGTTGTAAAGAAAGGTGTTGTTGGCCTGAAGCCAGAGGCCAGCAGCAGCCACCACACACTAGCCGAGCAGCAACACCAGTCTTACAAGGGTTGGCTATGGGGACCCCTCTCCACCTCCCTCCCTGATCCCAGGGAAGACCAGGAGAAGGCAGGAAAAGGCTGCTTTAGATAAATTCTGGACTCTTCTTTCTTTATGCTTCCATCGCCCCCTTATTTTTATTCAGCGCCCCCCAGTTGCACCCAAGGCTCCTACCGCCCACCTGGATCATTCCAGCGCCCCCCAGGGGGTGGTATTACCCACTTTGGGAACCAGTGGTTTAGGAGAAGGGAGACCTCTAGGCCTTCTAATGTGCCCAAATGACATCATCAGGAACACAGCAGGGTCTTGATTCAGAATAGATTGAAAATTGTTTCAAATGTCTTGTAGAGATTCTTCAGACTAGTATGTTTTCATGAGCCTTATTCATAATCAGACAGGGTTGGGTGTACCCTTCCCACATACTAATTTGCTAATGTCAACACTGTAGAACTCCTTCATTGAAAGCCTGTGTGGTATAGTGGTTATAATGTTGGGTTAGGATCTGAGAGACCCAGGCTGGAGTCCCCACTGAGCCACTGAATCTTTCTGGGTTCCCTTGGGCCAGTCACACACTCTCAGCCTAACCTACCTCAAAGTCAGTAAATAAAATTATCCAGGTGATTGTAGTTGGCTTACTATAGAGAGTACTCATTTTGAACCCAAATATCTAGCACAGGCTGATAGAAATAGATCCCATAGAAATAGATCCCAACATGTTTTATAGTTTTGATTGTAGTTACTTTACTTGTGCTGTTTGTACTTTGCTTTTGAGGGTGATTTCCCCCTCCCCTATGTTTTAACAGGAGCATTTCACTCCACTGCTATGGGCATCCAGGGAATGATGAGCTATGTAGGGGAACACAAGCAATTCTTTGTTGACTTGCAGCTGAGGAACACAAAAGTAATAATTGATGGAAATAACCTATACCACCGACTTTACTTTGATGCAAGTCTGGACATTCGGCACGGTGGGGATTATGATTCTTTTACAAATATCACACACAAGTTTTTTGAAACATTGACTCTGTGTGACATCAGACCGTATGTTGTGCTAGACGGAGGAAGTGATGTCTCTGATAAGAAGTTCGCAACCTTAAAGGAAAGAGCACAGGAGAAGATCCAGTTGGCCTTTTCCATCTCTCGTGGCGGTGCTGGAAGCGTATTACCTTTGCTCATCCGAGAAGTATTTAAACAGATCTTAACCAGATTACAAGTACCTTTTGTCCAATCTTTTTCAGAAGCAGACAGGGACATTGTGTCATTAGCCAATCACTGGAATTGCCCTGTGTTGACTTTTGATAGTGACTTTTGTATTTTTGACCTAAAAGCAGGCTATTGTCCTCTGAATTACTTTCAGTGGAGAAACATTTGCACCTATGAAGAGTCACAAGACTGCTATATCCCAGCAAAGTGCTTCTCCTTAGAGAGATTTTGTAAGCATTTCGGCAATATGAGCAAAACTCTCCTACCGCTTTTTGCAGTGATGAGTGGCAACGATTATATTAACCTGCCTGCTATGGAAATGTTCTTCAGCAAGGTACGCCTTCCTGTTGGAAGCTATGGGAATAAATTTAAAAAGCACATCCGTATTCAGGGGCTTCTGAATTGGCTGTCTCGTTTTGCCGATCCCGCTGAGGCTATAGAAAATGTACTGAAATATCTTAGACAGCATGAGAAAGAGGAGACAAGACAGTTTCTCTGGGCTTCTATGGAGGAATATGAACCGTCCAATGTCAATCTGGAAGACTTTTTTCAGAACGGACGTTATGAATCAGAGGAAGCCAAGAAACAAGAATTACCTCTGTGGATTCTTAGTGCTTTCGCTAAGGGCCTTCTCGCACCGTTCATTAGTGATGTCCTGGTATTAAGAAGAGCAATTCTCCATGCTCAGGTTGAGAATATCCAAAGACCTAGCAGTCACGTTACAGCTCTGTCCATTCGACAGGTGATTTATGGGCTGCTACTGAATACTTCAGAAAGTTCGTTCTACACCTCTGCAAGGAAACATCCCATTTCTTCCACTCCCGCCCTTTGTGAATTTGACAGATTCCAAAAAGAACTCAGGAAATCATTTGTTTCAGCAGCGTCATTCTCAGGAAATTTTGCTCTGACTACGTTAAATGAGGTAAAAGTTCATGATGGCATATCATGAAAGTTTATTAGCAGGGCTATGTAGAATTCTACAGGAGCATTAAAAATGTAGATTCCTGATCAGATTTCATTAAAAAAAATCTAGCCTCCATCGCTGCAAAGATAAAGTGCATGGGCAATTGCTGGTGAAATCTCAGGGGCAGCTGAGTAGTTTTTCTAGTAGTCAGAGGCCAATGCATCAATTACCTCTATGTTCTTGGTCCTACCCATGACTGCCAGCATAAATTATGTAAAATAGGTGGTATGAATTTGCGTAATGCATAGAAAGTACTGAATTTAGTTTGCCTCTTACATAGTTGTGTATAAATGGGACTGGAAGGCCCTCTCTCCACTTGCTTAGAGCAGAGGGTTTTCAATCACTGGCTGTTGGGGGTGCCTGTTACCCCAGTGAATGACTATGGAAGGGGGTACACAGAGGGGCTGAAGCTCGGGGGACGCCCTGAGAGCCCCCCCACTGGGTTCCCTGGGCCCGCGCAGAAGCACTGCGGCTCGGAGGACGCCCGGAGAGCTCCACCGCCGACTTCCCCGGCCCCCGCCAAAGCCGTAAATAAGGGATCTGCGGGGGTGGGGGATCCCTCACTTCCTCCATCTCTTTGCCAACTTTCCCTCCTTTTCTTTCTTTCCCTTCTCTTCCTTCCTTCCTCTTTTCCTCCTTTCCTTCTCTTTCATTCCCTCCTTTCCTTCTCTCCTCTTCCTCTTTTCCTTCCCTTTCTTCCTTCTGTGGCTCAACTCTAGTGAGAAGGGGTTTAAACTTTAAACCCTTTCTCTCTTCGCCCCCCCCCTCGGCAGGCCAGCTCTTTTGCTTCCCCTTCTGACATCACTTCTGGTGATGTCAGGGGGCGTGGCATATGCTAATGGCCTAGTAGCTCATTAGCATACCATATGCTAATGAGCTCCTGCAGCTCTTTTTCTACAAAAAGACCCCTGCACACAGCTGAGATGTGCATATGAGTTGAATGGACATGTTTAGCCAGTGCAGACCTGCCCTATCCTATTGGCTCTAAACAGTGAGTATGGTCTTGAAAATTTTACCCACCAAAATGGAATCTTCCTCAACATTTCCACCACGGCTGTTGCTCTGTATTAGCAGTTTCAAAAACTGTTTGCCATTGGGGAACTCATTCGGATAGACAGCTGGTCAGTGTCTAGGACTAGATTGACCTCCACCCAATAACTGAATGTTACAAGCAGAGGTCTGTTGGAGAGATATTAAAATATATATACGTAGAATTTTTAGTAAGTAGGTCTTCGGGGTAATGGTCAGGTTTTATTAAAACAGGTTCTCTTGTCACAAAGAGGCAGCATTTTTTTAAAAAATGTATTTATTACATCTTAGGTGGCAATACAATGAACTGCTATTACAGGCCTGGCAGAAGTGTGTTCCAATGAAAATTCAGACCAGTTCATGTTGCTCCCAATATTTCAAAGACAGATATATTAAGACATTTCTATTTCTCTCTCCAGTCCTTTGGGGTTACTCGCCAAAAAAACAACAAAAAGAGGCAGCATGAAAGCTAGCAAAATGCTTATAGGGAAAATGTACTTTTCGCAAGTAGTATGACTCTAGGCAGACTCACTGGAAAGGGCAGGGTGTTATTTTATTGCGGGTTCACCCTAATTAAAAATTTCTGTTGGCATCAAGTCTCCTTATAAAAGTGTGCCACTTTTGTTTGCAGGTTCCCTTAGCAGACCGTCTGCAACTTTTGTTGGACACATTGGAAGTGACAGCCAGTGTCCTTGAGGCAGTTCCTGGTCAGTTGCAGCTCCCTGTGGCAGTGACCTGTTTCTGGATACGGTATTCAGAACCCAAAGTGAAGTTACAGCACATGAAGGCTTTACTACTTGGCATGGTATTTGGTGAATTACACAAAATACTGGAGAACCCAGGTAGGCCTTCGGAGTCCTGTAAGGCAATTTTGAACCCTACTAAAAATACTCTTTGGACTTGGAAGTTCCTTTCCATGCTTAGGTTTACGTTAGCAATCAACTTTTCATTTCAACTGATGACTGATCTATCCTAAAGCGGTTGATGTGGTATGATAGACATCTACAAGATACTTCGCAAAGAGGTTACATGAAAAAATGTATGATGTTCCTTACTTTCTATGCCTCATTGGCAACGTTCAAAACACTCAAAACTTTGTGTTCATTTTTGTTTAGAAGGTAATGGATCTTATAGCAGAAAGGTGGGTACAGCAAGGGTTCCTGTAGGTCCTTGAACCATGAAGTAGGTAAATTGCTGCCAGCTACATCTGGATAAAATGCATGAGAGATGAGGATTCCATTGAGTCATTCCTAAGGAATATTAAACTTTTTTCTAGGCATCCCTGCATACAATTCAGATCAGAATTTAAAGCACAAACTTAGTTGGTAGAAGTTACTGTTTGAAAGATGTGCCCCACAGATTTAACCCTTCTACGTGAATTCTTGCTTAACATCTTAGATCATTCAGAATTTTTTCCCCATTGTTATCTAGAGCCCGGGACTCTTCATGCAGAAGTCAATAAAATAGTGTACGACCAGTTCCGGAAATGGAAAGGCGAGAAATCACAAAAAGAACCACTGGAACTGGACACTGCACACATTTTCTGCCAGTGGCAGTGCTGCCTCCAAATGGCATTGTATCTCAACCAGCTGCTGTCTGCTCCTCTCCCTGAGCCAGATCTAACACGGTAAGAATGCTTCAGATGACAAGCCCATGTATACTCAGTAGGACTGATCTCTGAATAATCATGCACCAGATTAGGAAAGATGGGTACATAGAATCCCATACCTTTCAGTGCAATTTAAACATGCCTTACTTTCCTAGAAGTGTATTTAACCTATACTTTTGAGGTCTTCTTTTTTGTCTACACTGTACTTTCTGCACCTTCAAGATTTTGAGGGGGGGGGCACTTAATATTCTATCAAATACAGTACTGCTGGCATATTTCTTGAACCAGTTAAGATCATAATCAACTTGCAATCAGTGTTCCCTCTAAGCTGAGTTAATGTGAGCTAGCTCAGTTTTTTAGCCTCCGGCTCATACGTTTTTGTCTTAGCTCAGGAAGGGATGGCTCCAGAGCCAACTGCTTTATGCAGTAGCCAAATTGCTCGCTCACCACTTTAATGCCAGTAGCTCACAAAGTAGAATATTTGCTCACAAGACTCCACAGCTTAGAGGGAACATTGCTTGCAATACAAAGCTGCTGCAATGATGAAGTCACTTTTAGCCCAACACATCAGAACTGTTCAATCATCTCAGGGTGTTTGAATCTTTTTCTTGGCACAAGAACCCTGTGCCCTCTTGAGATTAAGGAAATCTGTCATCAAGTGAAGCTTCAATAAAATTTTCAGTTTGAAGTTACAAAGTCATATAACATGCCATTTGTAGAGCACTTTTAAAGCATTCACAGTACCTCATTAATTCGTACAACATTCTGGAAAATCGAGTACCTGTTTTGCATTGCAAAACTAAGAGATACAGGTTAGCCTAAAGCTACCTAGTGAAGTTCATGGATAAAGTTGGGACTTTCTGGTTCACTTTTGTTATACAATCTCTATCTCTCTTCAGTCCTAAAAACACTTACAAATCAAACGTTACTACAGTCAGAGGGAGAGATTTGTGTTCACTGCTGGAATTATATAATACCATCCAGGTAGAAAAATGCCAATCAAAGACTTTTATTGGCATATCACATCAAAACTGACAGGCAGGGAAATACAAAAATCATATGCACTTAATAATAGATTCCCTCCTCATGGAAGCCAAAAACAAAAATTTGGCCACCAATTCCATAGTCACTAAGGAGCGAGTAGAGAGTAAATAAGATGTCTTCCATTCATCAGGTTGATTTGCTAGGTTTCTCAATAAAGGCTTGAGATATAATGATCGAACATCACAATAAAAGATACAGCACAGAATGATATGCTCAAGACTCGATTTCATTAACACAAGGACATATTCTATCCACATATGGAGTCTTAGAGAACCTACCATCCAGTACAGCCAAAGGCAGCACATTAAAATGGCCTAACATAAAATCTCTTCAATAATGAGTGGTTAAACAGAAAAAATATTCTGCTATAAGCCCCTGGGGAGGAAGTAGAATAATGGCTAGATTCTCCAAATTGTGGTGGTAGACACTGAGGTTCCATGCCCCACTCAACCATGAACCACACTGGATGACTTTGGGCCAATCACTTTGTCACCCTAACCTAACCTGATTTTTTTTTGTTTATAACAACACCCAGTAGAATGAGAGAAGTCTGTATTTTATATTCTTAGTCTGGTACAATGTTTTTGTTTGCTTTTTGCTGTTCCTCTGATGTTCATTTTTTTACCTATCATGTTGAACCTTCATTATCTCAGCAAATATCTACTTGTGCTCTGTGTCCAACTGAAAAGTGCTGCATCAGGCATTATAGGTATGAGCTGTTGGATAAACTCAGTAAGTAAAATATGCTAATTAAACCTGGTGCAGGAAAAATGTAAATTAAGATTAGTGTTCTTGAAACAAGTCATGGACCTGCTAGGAACCCATTTTATGTAGAAGGTGGGAAAATAGTAACTGTCATGTGATACCTCTTTCATAGCCAAAACAATGGTCATGTGGTTTCTACAGGTGGGTGAAATAGAGTTTGGGAAGAAGAGCTGTCCTGTATCTATCTCCTTGATTAATCCATGCAGTCTGACCTCAAGAAAAGTGAGAGGTCTCCAGTTCATTGAACAGAAAGAAGTAGGGCAACAGATAAACCTGAGCCTTTACAAAGCTCTGGGACCCATTCCCAGAAAACAAGTCTTTTAGGTAGAAGATCAGCAAGTCTTATTAGGAGAGTATGTACCCTACGAAACTTACATGCCATGTAAGTACCTGACTCTTATGACAGTAAACCTTTACCAAACCTAGATTGGTCAATTTCAGATGATAGCCCAGTTTCTCTGTATGTGCCTGTCTTCATGCTCAATTTCTGTATCTGCTTTGTACAGCCATAGTTCCTGTTCTTCTCATAATTCATCAGGTATATCTTCTCCTTTCCAGAAGTTACTCTCCTGGGAACTGGAACCATGAAGTCTGGTCTTGCTCCTTCTCCTAGGAATCTTTCCCAATAACCATTCAGGTTTTTAGAACAGGATTCTTTTTCTGCTATGACCTCTTTCACATGTTTATTTAGTTTAGTCAACCATAGGGATAAATGATCTTGGCTAACCTCCTGCAGCAAGTTGCAAGGCACTTTATTCCAAACACACCGCCTTCATCTATGTACTAAATTTGTAAATAAGGGTATTAAGAAGAAAACTGTACGCTGTGGTGGAAAGTTATGGAAAGTAAATTTTCTATCCTTTTTTTGGCAGGCTTTACAATGGGACCCTTGTGCATAAACTCTGCCATGAGCTAAAGACAACAATGGCCACACCAGACAGTCTCCTCAGTGCATCTCCAAAGATGAACCAGCTTTATTGCAACATGGTACGTGTAGTGAGATGTGTCATACCTACAGATTTCTTCCAGAAAAAGAAGGCCAAGTCCCGTAAGAAAAAGAACAAACAAGCTGTTAAGCAAGTGCTGGACAAGAGAGAAGCTGCTAGAGTGGAAGTTCTGCCTTCATGCAGCATTAACAACAGATTCACAACATTCATGATGGAAGACTAAAGGTACATTTCATTAGAAATAAAAGGTTGCAGTTAATGTATTATTTTCATTGCTACTTCAAGTCTCATTGGAAAGTAGGACTCCAGAACCATACGTGGGAATTTAGTGCTCTGTCGCTTTGCCTGCTCTAAGGTTTGGTTTTAGCTAGTCCAAAACAAAAAAGCCACTTTTCAGAAAGAAGCAGGGAGTGGTCTCACTGATTAAGATAATGACATTGCCTACATGGTCTATGCACAGTGGCCCAAGACACTAGCATAAAGTCAGAGCAAATGCACAAATCTCTAAGTGGAATGCATTAAGCAGAGGTACACAAAATTCATGCATCCTTCAAAGAATTCATTTGCACAAAATGCTGAGATTCTCAGCTTTTTCATTCTGAAGAAAACTGTAGCTCTCTGTGTATGCAAAACTGAAAAAAGTGTTCACATTGTTTTCTATGATAGGTGCAAGCGGGTTTCAGTTTTCAGAGTGTGACCTTCTATTAGTTTAACAAGGAGTCACACTTTTTTTTTTTAATCTCTCTCCTTACAGAATAATTATCTCCAGTTTTCTATGGCAGCCAACCTTTCCCCCCAATCCCTGACAAACATGCCAGGACAAAATATGCAAAAACAAGTGTATATACATAAAATGTGTTATAGAAGAAATGAAAAACAGAGTTTGGGACGTTTTTCACTTAGGTGCAAAATGTCATTTGCAACATCAGCCGGAACGTGCATTCACAATACTTCACTTTCTTAATCTTTTGAGTACTATTCTATATAGAAACTACTAATTTTGTCTCTTGCAACAGATTTACAGGATAACTACCAATGTTTCCCTGGGTTTGAGCCTAATACCTAAATTTGCATCAGCAACCACCAAAACAGAGACCGAATTTGAGGCAGAACACCTACATTTTGTGATGCCAGACAAAATATTTAAAATGCCTGTGTGTATATTGAAACTCACCATTGCCAGATAGCACAGCAGAAATGGAGATCAGATAAAACATGTGTCTCCTCTTGCAGTGAGAAAGACCTCAAGTGCTGTATTTCTGTAACATTGCCAACTGGAACAACAAAAAATGTTCATCTGTAATGCTTGAAACTGGATGCCAGCTTAGGTGTCCTGGGCATGAGTAGAAGAGCTACTGTGTGTACACACAGGTGGAAGGGTTACTGATTTTAAAAAAGAATTTCCGGATGTATTGCAGAGTTTTTGAATGTGGTCTGAGTGTTCCTGTGACCTTTAGAAACAACTTTTCAGGAGACAAACAGCTGCAGTAGGAAGGGAGAGAAGTCTTGTCATCCGACACACAAAGGCCCCAACAGCCATGTGCGCTTCTTTAGATCCTGGCTACAGTTTGAAAGCAAAATAACTTGGATAGATGAAGACTAGGTCCTCCGTACTAGCACATACAGACAGATGGAATATCTGTGGTATTACTGGAATCTACAAACACACTCCAGCTCTTTTAAATAGCCCCTATAATAGCCCAAAATAATAAGATCCAAGAAAACCATAACAGAAACCATTTAGCAGGAAAATAAAAGGCAATCAAGAATTACATTAAAAGAGACAGCGGATAGGCCAAGGATAGTGTCTTTTCAGACGCTTATTAAAAAGGGGACTAAGTACCGTATATCATGGGCCTGACACAGCAGAGGTTCACTCATTCATGGGGTATGATTAACATACTTGGGGTTCAGACTGCTGAATGGAAAACAGTGGCTGTTGAATTAAATGTCACTGGTAAATATGTAACAAGGAAATGTGCAGAATGAAATGCAGCCTGCTCTGACCAAGTGAAAAGTCACCTTGGAAGTTAAAAAAAACAAAACAAATCATTTTCTGATTTGTGAACCAGATTCATTCAAAATACCAAGTTACACATCTGCACTTATTTTTTTAAGAAAAGCAGACATTTACTTCAAAAATTGCAATAGGCTTTTCAATCACAAAAAGAAAGAAAAGACAGTGATCTGACAGTGGTCACATCTGTGCAAAGAACTTAGGATACAAAAAAAAATAGCACAAGGAACACATTGCAAGTTAACCTAAAAATAAATACAGGAGCTGAAATATGGCACTCTTGTAACTCTTCCTAGACCAGATGGAATGCCTCAAAATTCATCAGTAAAGTCCCACCACCACCATAAAAGTTTCTTTCTTAAATAAAAGCTAATGTCTAATACATGTTTCTATACACGTATACCTCTTTAAGACCAAAAGGGTGGGTCTTAGGCTTTTGACATTTGTTTCTTTTTGAAGTAGTCTCTCACATACTTACAAAGTTCCATTCAATTTAAAAAGTAAAGTTTTGTGTTTGAGGAAAAAAATGTTACCAAAGTTGCATAATTTTGTTTTGTTACTCCCTCAGCTGGAAGTTTAGAAGTCAACAGTCTTTAAAATTGCCAATGTTCATTTTCAGTCAGTGAAAGAGGAGGACTTGTCAAAAGCCCTTCTTGTGTCGCTTCCACCTACACGGACAGCAGTTTCTAGTTTTGCCAACAAAGAATGCAATGTGCATCATACATCAAGAAAAGACGATACAGACGAAGAACTGATGTGTTTCTGGGTCTTATCTCTGCTTCTTTCAACCTTCTTTATAATCTCTGCTACAATGCATACTGAGGAGGTAAGCCCCAGAAGAAACAGCAAGTCTGGAAAAAATGAGCAATACGATAAACTTTTCAACTGGCTATGGACACCGATTCAGCTGTTTAAAGCAGACAACAAGCAATTCAACTGTCCCCCAAAGTTTGGTATCAAGGAAGTTCTACTAACGTAAATGGAAGAAAATCTGAAAAATAGAGCTACGAGGAGAAAGGACTCAAAAGCTATGTTTTGTTTTTCTATTAATGTTTATATAATTCTCCATTTATTCGTCAAATATGGAAGTGTTTCATTCTTTATCAAATATTCAAAATTAAATGGACCATTTAAACTGGACTACTGTACTTACGTTTTGTATGAGTAACAGGAACTGTTTTACAGTTTTCTAATGCCCTAGCATCACAACTGCTTCCAAAATAATTTTTTTAATTAATGTGTTTTTCTCTGGAATGAGTTGAGCACCACATCCTTAGGAGATGGAAAAGGCGAACCAGAGTTTTTGAGTTCCCCAAAGAAACCGCAACTTAATGAAGTTTGAGTCCAGCGGCGCCTTTAAGACCATCAAAGTTTTATTCAAGGTATTTGTGTGCACACAGAAACTTATACCTTGAATAAAACTTTGTTGGTCTTAAAGGTGCCACTGGACTCAAAATTTGTTCTGCTGCTTTAGACCAACACAGCTACCTACCTGACTCAACTAAATGAATTAAACTAGCTTGTTCTGCAAGAACAGGTTTGCATTCAAATGTCATGACAATGCCAAATTCAACCCCAATCAGGCACACCATACGTTCGCATGACTCCAATGTTTGGATGTCAGTGTGAGCTGGAGCTTGATCAACCCAGGAAATGTCCTATCAAGCTTTGTGCAATAGATGAGGAAAGTGAAGGGAGTTCAGGATTCAAACAAGCAGAGAAACAAACTGTGTTCATGCCTCATCTGAGTTTAGCTGTGGCTTGCTGACATCTTAATGCAGCCTAAGTTTAAGACTGCAATCCAATGCTGAAGTGTTCTTAATAGTGAAGCAAGTTTTCACTTGCCAGGTTCAATGCTCTCCCTTCAGCGATCTTAACTGGGAGGTTTAATAGAATCCCTTTTGTTAATAGATTATGCCCCTGTGCAAGTGGGTCAACTGAAACAGTGTCTCACAAGTTATTGGAATGTCATTACTATGCCAATATTCGGCACTGCATTTTATCATCACTACTTGGTAGTATTATAGTTTCCTGACTCATACAAACTGCTGTATCTACTAAACAGCGAAGATGAAAATATAACCGTCCCTGTGGCGAAGTTCTTTTAGGCTGCTCTTTTTATAAAGTATTGTAATGCAAAATTTGTATTTGGGAGATATGAAATTGAGACTTATTTTACCTGGATTTTAGAGTATTCTAGAACGCTTTTTTCCGGGTGATGTGTGTTTCCTATGTTTTATCTATTTGTGTGGGTTTTTTTCCTATGTTAATGCCAATAAAGGTAACTGAAGTCAATGGGACACTTCTCAATAATCATCTTTAGGATGATCCCAATTAAGTGGCTTATACTTGTACAAAAGGGCAAGAGGAAGAAATCCCTCGGGTGGTATCAAGAAGCAAACATTAAGGGAAGCATAAAGGGGCAAAATGAATCTGAAGAAATTCTGTAAAGAACTACCACAAAATAGAAATGGTGCTCAGGTCTTTGGACTAAGTAATCTCATTTATTTGTGAAATGCTTTAATGTTCACTATCAAAACAAAATGAGGACTTCCTTTCTACCCACGTCTGAAGCGGAACAAAGATTATCCTTACCTAGTATACTTAGACTCTCTGTCTGAAAGACCTTTTGAAGAGGGGGGAAGTAGATTACCAGTAGCTGTCCCATTATAGAGCCAAGGACTGCATAACAGAACATTTTGTTGCTGCAGAGTCCAATCTCAAACACAGATTTAGTCTGCAAATAAAGGACACTGAAATTATGCCTTTGACATTTGCTGAATATTAACAACACTATTTTTTGGAATCATCTGGTATGTCAGAGCTCAAATAAAAGATTTTTGAATACTAAATTATTCCTTAATATTATAATAATAAGCTTTTGGGTAGGTAATTTATGATGCTGAATTATTTTACGATGCTGAATAGTCTACTAAATTTTTGTAATTTGCAAATATGCTGTCTCAGTATTTCAAAATGTTCATATCATACCTTTTAACACAGTCACGTACCTGAGATCTTGAACTCAAAGCATTGAACATATCAAAAAATACAAAACAAGTGAAGGTCATTGTTGTATCTCGAGGTGTTATGACATTGTCTCGCAGCTGACAAAAGACAAAGAAGTTTTAATATATGAATTTCTCTGCAGATATACAATAAAGCATTTCAAACTAAGTCTTTATCCAAAATCTGAAACCACAATACTGTAAAACCAACAGTCCCATAACCCAAGAATTAGAAAAATCCTATTTTGATGCTGCCATATAGGAATCTCACTCTGCACGGAACTGGTATCTACAATTCTCTAGTTATTTCCTGCTTTCCTCACAGCATATCTGCATGTAATTTTAAAAATACCAGTAGACCTAATGACATTCACTTCTTAGTGTATCTTTAGAGTCTAGACAGGCTGCTAGGTTGACCTGTGAATGCCACTTCAGCAATACACACTCAAGATTCATTCAAATACTTCAGTTCCCTCAGACTTCAGGATTGTAGCCATGGAGTCTGAAGGCATATCTAAATGACAACGCAGTTCTGCTGCCATAGCTGCTCAAGGATCTCTTGGAATTGAATTTGGGATATGCATTAGGGAAATGATTCGAAATTCTTAGTCCCATCACAGAATTATAGTTCTCGGATGCTTTGGGGGAAATAAAGGTAGGTAACATTAGCAAGGACTACCCTATTCATACTGTGAATGCTATAGCTGAACACCGTATCAACGCCTACAGGAAATAATTTGTTGAACAGTTAACTTTGACTAAGGTGCTTCAACTGGTACAGGCTCTAGCTAGTGGTTGAAAATGGGCACAACATACTAGTATGGGCTATTTACTACTGCTTCCCAGTTACCATACTAGTTTTCAATGCACTGCATTGCATTTTACTTGGGAGAGCCAATACCAAGATTATTCACTTGGAACTGGGATGAACAACTTCTAATGGTGGTTCAGCCTGGGAGCTGATGCTTCTCACAGTGTCAAACGGAGGCTTTAATTACAAATACTATTACAAATAAATGTGATATAAAAAGGTGTAAAAGAGGTCTAAATCTCCATACACTTGCGAACCTCAGAAATTACTATCTTAGCCCAAACTGCCTGAGGAAGGATGGGGTAAGCATTACTGAAGAGTACAACAAAAGTAACAAATGACAACTGAAGATGGGAAGAGCCTCCACCCCTTCAAAATATGTCAGCAAGCTGAGCTAATCCAAATGGACAAAGCATACAATGAGATATAAACAATTCGGATTGTTATTAATTAATTAATTAATTAATTAATTAAGCTTCATCAATAGCCTCCCGGCCATAGCTGGCTCAGGGTGGCTTACGGTCAGATAAAATTCCAAATACATAAATAGCATCAATAACATTGACATTAAAATACATTAAAACCATAATAATAAAGTGCTAGTCTTTCTATTGGCGCTGATTGGTCTTCAGGTGTCAAAAACGGATTCAAAAGTCATAGGGCAGCTTCAGATGTTGTAAGAGGAGGGGGAATTAGCATGGGCAGAAATTAGGGTCCAGCGGATCAGGGCTCTTCACCATGCAGTATCAGTTGCCATAGCCAGTGGCATTGGCAATCGAGATGGTATCGATCATGGTTGTGGTGGTAGTTGTGGTGGCGGATCCAAAGGCCTGACGGAAGAGCTCCGTTTTGCAGGCCCTGCAGAACTGTGAAAGCTCCTGTAGGGCCCTGGTCTCCTCTGGGAGCTCATGCCACCAGGATGGAGCCGCCACCGAAAAAGCCCTGACCCTGGTCGTCACCAGCCTGTTTTCTGGTTTAGAGTTGTAAAGAGTGATGGAAGCATGTTTGGACAGTCTTCTCTGACCAGTGAGAAATAAAAGTGTTGCAGAATACACAGCTTGCTTTGGAGCCACATATGTCTTCATATCAGTTGTTATAACATCCAACAGAAGTCTGATTATAAGTAATCCTGTAAACCTAGGCTTCAGTGCGAGAATGCTTCCTACACCATCTGCCATCATAAACATAACATTGATAATCACACTGGGGGGAAATTAATGCATTGAGGTCTCCCACCTAGTGGTCTGGCTTATACCTTAAAAAAAGCCCTCTGGGCAAAATAAAAGTTCAATGGTCATTTAGGTGTAACAAATATCAAGTTATAAAGCAGGTATTCAAAGAACTGTGAGATCACCCCAAGAGCTTGAAGATGCTCAGTGAGTTTCTTCCTTTGAATAGGCATCATGTCACTTATAATACTGATTGCTGAAATGCTGGAATTTCAAAAGTTGACGACCATACAGGAGGGGCATTACGGAATCTCAGATCTGAAGCCCTCCCTTGGGCACACAGAATTAGTTGCATGATTCTTTGCATGGTAGCACTTTGACAAATACTGCTACTGGCATAGAAATACTACAGTTAGCAAAGCACTTTAAGCGCTTTTTAAAAAGACAAATACATCTGTGCCTTACCTCCCTCCAGAAGACAAATAACGTTCCGCATACAATAATTATAGATGAAACTAATATTTTAACAATCAGATTTTTGGTCAGAATGCTGTCCTTCACATTTCGTGGAGGTTTCCGGATAACATCTTTATCAACAGGCTCCACTCCAAGGCTAGAAACAGAGATCAAACAGCTTTACTGGAAGGTTGGATTCACTGATGCAACTAGTGCTGAAAATTATCCAGAAAACTCTTTGAATAGGTTCCTATTTGCCCACAGACCCTAAAGCATTATGTTTTTGCTTGAACAGAATAAAATTATCCTATACCATTTACATAAAGCTTCTAGTTAGCGTTACCCTCATGTTAGGATTCATAAAAATGAAAAGGCTTCTGTGTTCCATCTTCAAGATACCAAGAGCAGGTAGACAAGCTCCTGCAGACTACTTGGAATAACAAGCACAGGCTTTTTCCAAGGCAGCACCGATCTCTAGGTGTCATTAATGCCACAAATGAAATTCGATGAACTGATTAACCCTCTATGAACAAAAATGAAACAAATAATCTGGGGTTAACCCTCTATATGTATGAACAAAAATGAAACAAATAATCTGGAGGCTTCAAAAGAGAAGACAGTACCTTAAATAACTGTCAAGCTTTGTACTGGGATCTTTTTTGCAGGGGGGGGAGTGGGTCAAATAAGTTTGCACTGTGCAGTTCTACACAGGAGGCCCTGGCGATGGATCAATGATAAGGGGGGGGGGGGGTCTGTTCCTTATGAGGGAGAAGTGCCAGCTGCATAGCAGAGTAAGACAGAGGAATACTTTCAGCAGCTTCCACCAACTGTACTCACCAATAGGTTTGCCCCTTTATTAAATGATGTGCCCAGCTCCACCTAGTTTTGAGGATTCTATACTGGTCCCCTCCCAGACACGCCCCCCCCCACTGGCCTGAAAGCTTCTGATGAATTATTAAAGCAGAATGCTGCTAAAGGAGATCTAAGGAGGAGATAGCAATTCTTGCATCTCAGACACAACTGACTGCAGAGAAAGGATTAACTTCCTAACCAATCAGTTTCAGGTCCTCCTGGCTACTTTGCAGGTGTGGGGGGGATTAGACTTGAGAGTGTAGCAATTAAAAGAAACAGAGTTGATACCGTGAATGAGGTAGCAAGGGGCGCAGCAAATATCAAGGATATCAGCAAAACAACAAAGGTTTATCAGAGACAGCCACCCTTACATTTGGAACACAATACAGTTTAACACAGGTGGCAAAGCCTACACAAAGTAGAACAAAGTTTGAGTCCAGTGGAATCTTTAAGACCAACAAAGTTTTACTCAAAGTCTGCTGCTTCAGACCAACACGGCTACCCACCAGAACCTACACAAAGAAGTGAGCAGTGACTCACAAAATCTCATACCCTGACACATATTTTGTTAGTCTTTAAGGTGCTACTGGACTCTTGCTCTTTTCTACTACACAAAGTCGTAAGTGAATATGAACTATTTAAAAGATCTTGCTACCATTTCTGAAAAGTTATCCCAGATACAACAGTATTTGATTCATCCTCTCCAAAAACTCAGCTTAACAAAACATGTTATCTGGAAGTATAAGTATACCAATTTCCAAAGCTGTAACTACACTTTTTTGCATCCTAGGTAAACCTGAAGCAATAAAGAGGTTTCGGTTGATCTGCTGTACTAAGAAATATCTAACTGTATAGGTTAAATCTTCTATTCACCCTTTTCACAGTAACCTTGCCATTTTGGCACTCTGCAAACTACTGACACCTTTTTAAGCTGGGGCCCCGACTCACCTGTGGGTCCCACTTGCTGCCCCACAGGGGTGGGGAGAGCCAAAGAAGGCAACAACAGTATGGCCGGGCTGGCTCCGGCATGGAATGCCCAGCCGCACAGTCAGCTGAGGGGCAGGCAGCTGCAACGGCACAAAACCTGAGCCCTCTCCCTCTGAATGGGGGGCGGTGGGGCCAAGCAGGAGGGAATTTAAAGTGCCACGCCACCTGCATGGCTCACCTGGCCACAGTTTTTTCCCCACCCATCCCTTCCATCCATGTTACTGTCTTAGGGGGCTTGCATGCGGGATATGGGGTTACTATGGGAGGAGGGGTAACACTGTAGGGGTGTGCTGGTAATGTTCCAATTAGGGGTTCAAGTTAGGGGTTCGCTTCAGTCTACTTGTCACAACCTGGGGGCGGTAGCAGCATGGGGCCAGATACATTTTTCAGAAAACCAGCCCGCATGCCCGTTTTTCCTGCGTATGGGGATCCCCTTAAGGGATCTTGGGGTGAGGGCTTTCAAGGGGCATGCCCAGCTCAGGGGCTCCCAAGGGTACCCTCACACTCAAGTGGCAGGGGAGACCACTTAGTGGCAGACGCCCTCATGGAATCCAACATCCTGTCATCCCATGGTTCCCCACCACCACCCCAGCAGGCAGGCTGGGGCGGGGCTGGAGTTCATCGACTGGCAGCCAGGTCAGTCAATGCCAGATCCATTTGCCCCATGCTGTGCCAAGGCTTCTTACAGCTGTAACCAATAAAGTTGTAGCTAATTTTATTCCAAAGCTGAGTTTTAAGTGTATGTTATTGAACTACTGGTGTATGAGGGATCCCTTGCCTTCATTGCCCTCTCCCTTCCCCTGGGCGCTGTGGCTGCAAAGCAAAAAGTACACAATGAGCACATCAGAAGAGCCACGGATACAGTGATTACAGCGGATGGACACATGAGACCTGGGCTCACACACACACCCCAGCCATTTTTGCCAACTTTATTCCTTCCCGTTATTTTTGTTTCAGGCATTCCCATCTTTTAAAGTGGGTACACCGGGATAATCCTATCCAAGTAAAGCTGCAAACAGTTTTTTATTTTGTCCTGTCAAGACATTTAGAAAGAACCAATTAAAGTCACACTAAATATAGGGGTGGGGGAGATTCAGTGTGTCAAAGGCAGATTTGCCTGAGCGTTTAATCCCATGTAGCTATTTTCTGACCACTGACTTGCAGCAAAACCATGACCCCAGCACTGGGCTGTGAGCTAACTGGATATGTGAAGATCCCATTCAGAAAAACAAGTTTCACACACAGGGGAGACCAGTGTGACAACAAATCATCTTGAAGAAAAGGAATGGCTGCAACAATAAGCACTAAGCAATTTTACAGATCTTCTTGTATGTACAAAGAGGAACACTAAAATTTGAATCACACGCAACATGTTAAATACAGAGAAAACAACAAGAGAAGTGAATCAGATTACACAATTAGGTATTTCTTTTTAAAATATATGTTATTTATTCCTAATCATCACGTACTTTCTTAGCATCAGCACAAATTCCTTGCATCAAACCTTAAAAAAATGTTTTTACCTTTGAGCTGGAGGCCCATCCATGATAATGTTGATCCATAAGATCTGCATGGCATTGAGAGGATTAGGAAAGTTCATTAATGTAGCCAACGAGATTAATGTCAATGCAGCTATACTCCTGTTGAGAAAAGTTGTTTTATATAGCTGTCAGCATGACAAAGTTTACAGATTTTGTTTGTTGCTGAAAAACATTTTATGCAATGGTAATATACTATGCATTTCAGTTGCAAAGAAATGTATTTGGGAGTTGCCCAGAAACAACCCAACTGCTTTAAAATAGATCATGGACGTTACTGGAGTGGTGATCACTATACAGTCAGAGCTTACTGTTTAGCACACAATAGTAATTCAAGTGTCATGCTAATTTCTTGTTGCTTGAATAAATCCCACATTTAGAATACATCTCAAATTCAGAAGAACAGCAAGAGCCCAAGATGCTTTTCTCTACTATCTTTAACATATACATTTTCCAAGCAGTGCAACAGAAAGGTGCTCTTCTACCAATATATAAGAAAGACACAACTTATTAAATAATTTCTGGCTAGTACATTATTGAAGCATGTGCCAGTGTTTGTAGAAAAAAAAATCTCAACAAGAATAAAAATATAAACTCTAGGTTGAAATTGTGTCAAACACCTTGTTGTATTAAACTCCTGCTCACCTCACTGAGGTGTATAAATGCCTAATGATCCTTATAACCCGGAATTGGTCGCCAGTCATCCGGATCGCAGAAGGAACAACGAGGCCCGCCGGAGAGAATAAGAAAGACTTCGCCGCATGGGTGCTGTTAGGACATCCCCTCCCCGTGAAAGATTGTGGCCCTAGCTAGGTACCAACTACGTAAGTAGTTCATTGTAAACCGCTCTGAGACCCATTAGGGGTCACGAGCGGTATAGAAATCGAAATATAAAATAAAAATAAAATAATGCTGTAAGAAAGCCCCTTTACGACAATGTTTGGAGAATATACCGTACCAAGTGAGGCATCATGGGCTCTTGGATTAAAAGCTGAAGAACAAAATTCTAGATCTGTTCCCATTAGCTTGCCAACAACGAAAGGACAGCCTTCTAGCACTGACTTTATGCAGTAAGTAAAAATGTCATCAAGCCCACTGTGCTTCAGCTTTGAATGGCCAGTCCCAAATACCCTTAGAATTAATTCAGCATTATAACGAACAGTGATTCAAAGCCTTTTCATTAATGGCTGCATAATAAGACACAACGTAAGACTTATGAATCGAGTTCAATTTTTTTACAATATTGGTCATGCGAACTTCTGTACAATTTGGTAGCAGGAAACTTCTGACACATTGCAAAAACTTACGTGCTAAGTTGAAATCTAACAAAATTTTTAATGTTATTATAAATTCCTTTACCCTCTTCAATGGCAGACCTAAAATACAAAGAACAAGATCGAAGTGCTAAGAGACAAATGAAGGATTACATAATGCATTAAATTATTACTTGGAAGGAGTCATGAAAATGTAACACGGCAATCTTGAAATGTAACATGGCAATCTAAGGTAAAGGTAAATACTTCACTTAAATATGCACACTTTCATGGAAGGTACCTGTTTTCCCTTGGCTGTTTCCAAGTCAATATTATTCCAGTTTGTTCAGTGTTAATTTAATTATGTAGAAAATTCCAGCTCTACCAACACTGGAATTCAAAACGCAAGGGTATAACACGTTACAGATAGCATCTTCCTAATTTTCTTATTATTCCATTTTGCTCGAGAAGCTTTCCAATATCAGTAGAAAAGAACAAGAGTCCAGTAGCACCTTAAAGACTAACAAAATATGTGGCAGGGGATGAGCTTTTGTGAGGCACAGCTCACTTCTTCAGATACAGCTAGAATGGGAGTCCATCTGTCCTATATATTAGAAAGTGGAGTGATTTCAGATGCCAAATGACATTAGCAGGCAAATGACAATAGCAGGTGAGAACTTGTACTTCCAAATCAATGGCACAGCCACGGGCACCTGCATTGCTCCACAGTATGGCAACATGTTCATGGTGGATCTAAAACAGCGTTTTCTGAATTCCTACCCATTTGGCACTTCTCCTTTACTTGAGATTCATTGATGATATTTTTATTGTCTGGACCCATGGCAAAGAAGCCCTCGAGAGATTTCACCAAGCATTCCACAACATCCGCCCCACCATCAATCTAACTATGAATTACTATACATAAGAAATAAACTTCCCGGACACCACGATACAGATACACAAGAAACACATAAGAACCCCATTATACTGGAAACCAGCAAATCAGCAAACATGTCTACATACCTACAGCTACCACCCCAACCACTTCAAACAATCCACTGTATATAGCCAAGCCCTACACTATAGTCACATCTGCTCCAACCTCTCAGACAGAGATACTTACTTGAAGGATCTACAGCAGGCATTCTTGCAACTACAATATCCCCCTGCTATGGTGAGAAAGATGATTGGAAAGGCCAGAATGATATCCAAGGACAGCTTGCTACAAGACAAGCCCAAGAAAAATGACAACAGAACACCACTGGTGATCACCTACAGCTCACAACTCGAGCCAGTTCAAAGCGTTATTAATGACCTACAACCTATGCTGGATAGTGACGCTTCCTTTACACAGGCACTGGAGGCAGACCTTTTCTTTCTTATAGACAGCCTGCTAATCTAAAACAACTTATCACCCGCAATGACAAACTACTTAACAGTGACATGGACTCTGGTACCAAGGCCTGCAACAAACCAAGATGCCAACTTTGCTCTCATACCATCTTTGCTCATACCAACTTTGCTCTCATACCATCTCATACCCTAGCAACACCATCAGTGGACCCAGTAACATCAGCCATACCACCTCAGGTTCATACTCCTGCTCATCCTCTAATGTTATTTATGCAATCACTTGTCAGCAGTGCCCTTCCATCCTCTATACTGGACAAACAGGCCAGTCCCTTCAACAAAGAATTAATGGACATAAGTCTGACAATGGGAACCACAACATTCAAAAACCGGGGGCGGGGGGGGGCATTTTAAGTTTCCAGGACATTCAGTTGCTGACATAAAAGTTGCAGTTCTCATACAAAGGAATTTCAAAGGGAGATTAGAAAGAGAAACTGCTGAATTGCAACTGATAATGAAGCTTAAGACAATGAATCCACCTGAACTGGATCGAGACCTAGGTTTCCTGTCTCATTACCAATGTTGATTTCTTCATGCCTACTACCCCCTGCATATCACACCTAATTCAATCATGCCTGCTATTGTCATTCAACCGCTATTGTCACTTGGCATCTGAAATCGCTTCACTTTCCAAACTATAGAACAGATGGACTCCTATTCTAGCTATATCTGAAGAATTGAGCAGTGACTCATGAAAACTCACTCCCTGCCACATATTTGTTAGTCTTTAAGGTGCTACTGGACTCCTGCTCTTTTCTACTGCTACAGGCAAACACAGCTACCCATATTGATCTATTTCCAGTATCAGGTGGACATATTGGGACATAATCCATTAAAGACTGCTCAAATTTGTTCATGACTGGAGTTTCAAAGTGAAAGTTACAGAAGATAATTTGAAATTTGTCGAGCTAGTTGGTACTGCCCATACTTCTACTGCTAATATTTCCCTATCATAATGTTCCGCAGGTTATTAGGCCTCACCTTTTTCAGATCTTATCTCCAGGACAAATATTTTAAGTTGGTACCTTGTCCACACCTACTTTCCTGCCATCTCCCAATTGCGCTTTTAAAGCAGCAAACCACTACAGATAAATGTCCATTAACAAGCACTACCTAATGGTTTAAAAGTAGTATTTTAAACAATATATAGACATGTTCTAGAACAGTCTAAAATCCCAGTCTTTTTGGTGTGGCGACCCACAAGTCCAACTTAAGTGGTATGGTGACCCACTTTAAAAAAACAGTGCATGCATAAATCAATGAAGCTACAAAAACATGGGACCCGCTTACACAGGCTTTGCAACCTACAGGCTGGGAAATGCTCTAGAATATGTTTACTTCCAGCATCATCTTGCATTTTTCATCCACAGATAGAGGGTGTATTTGCATTCACTGCCGTGATTATATATTCCAAACAGAAACCACCACACGGATACTATTTCTGCATGGCAGTCTTAATAAAGAAAACTTACATTATTGTCTGAAAATCATCGTCCACTAGGATCATATCAGCTGCTTCTTTACAGACATCAGTGCCGGTCTGCCCCATTGCCACTCCAATGTCTGCAGCTTTCAGTGCTACTGCATCATTCACTCCATCTCCCGTCATAGCAACTACTGCACCATTATTCTGTAGGGACTGAGAAAAGGTACATTTATTGCCACTGAATATTCACAAGGTTTTATTATTCAAACTGCTACCCTGCCTGCCGATTAAAAAATGTTCAAATCCATAAAACCATACATGAGCAAAACTATTAAATAGAAGAGTTGATTTTTGTACCCCACTTTTCTCTACCTTAAGAAGTCTCAAAGCAGCCTACAATCTCCTTCCCTTCCCCTCCCCACAACAGGCACCTTGTAAGGTAGGTGGGGCTGAAAGAATTCTGAGAGAATTGTGACTGGCCCAAGGTCACCCAGCAGGCTTCAGGTGGCAGAGTGGGGAATCAAACCCGGTTCTCCAGATTAGAATCCACCGCTCTTAACCACTACACCACTATACTTGCAACAGCTGGACACAGCAAAGAATCATTCCATCAGATAAAAGCTTGTGCAAAAAATCCCAAACAAAACAGTTCTTACCTGATGCCCAGTGTTCAATAAAGTGATGCCAGGTAAATCACCCTAAGGAGATCCCCCCACAACTCCCAACCCACATCCAAAGTGCTTTTCTCCAAAAGGCCTTTCTCTGAAAGCCTTCAAAGGTGCAGGCATTCAGGGAAGGGCCTCCAAGGATGATCTTAAAGCAAAGGCAACTGCATGTGGGAGTAGGCAGCCTTCTACTACTCTCTGACACTGTAAATTCATAAGATACTTTATGTGCATTTAAATGATGCATTTAAACAAAGCTAAAGACTTTCTACAAACAGGATGCAGTTTTGCTCATGAACTAAAGCTATCAATATGGGCTTTACCAAACAAATGAGACATTTAATCAGAAATAGCTTTGATGGCATTTCTTTTGCTACAGTCATTGAAAGTTTCCCTTTTTCTTTGTCATCTGATATTATAGGCTAATTAATAAAGTGCACAAATACTTCAAAACAACCTAAACTTTATTACCGTGTTGTCAGTTGTGTTGAGCTACAAAGAGCTACCATATTTTAGTTGGCCCCATGAAAAATTAATTGTATTTTGTCACTCAGCATCAGTGGCAGATAGTTCTTTAGGGGTCCTAACTGATTTCATTCGAAGTCATGAGTTAGATGCTGTATAATGGTAATAATGCAGTGATACAAGGGCATGTTTGAATGCTCACATACCTTAACAATCTTCAACTTGTGTCTGGCACTCGCTCTGTAAAATACTGCTATCTAAAAATGGAAACAAGAACAACAGGGTCTTAACTATTTCAAGATCTTGCTCCCTAATAATAACAAATACACCTAGTCTCTTCCATAGAAGACTACACTGACATAATAGAGTGTCCATCAGTAAAGGATTGTTGAGAGAGGGAGGAAATTCCTCTCCCGATACTTTGCTTCTTATCTTCCCCCACCCCCTAATTAGAAGAAGAAGAATATGCAAAGGAGTTGCAACAGACTGATGGCAACCAATGATCCCTCTAAGCTGTGGAGTCTTGTGAGCAAAAATTCTACTTTGTGAGCAAGTGATTTGGTTACTGCATAAATTAGTTTGCTCTGGAGCCATCCTTCCTGAGCGAAGTCAAAAATGTGTGAGCTGGAGGCTAAAAAACTGTGAGCTAGCTCACACTAACTCAGCTTAGAGGGAACACTGAATTGGCAACCCTTTCCACAGGGCGATCCAGGCATAAGATGAACAGAAGTGGGCTACCATTGCCTTCCTCTGTGTAACAACCCCAATCTTCCTTGGTGTTCTCCCAGCCAAGTACTGACCATGGTTGACCCAGCTTAGCTCTCAAGCCCTGAAGAGCTCAGGCCAAACTGGGCTAAATTGAGGTTCTAACCCCCTTATTAGGCTTGCCTGTTCCTCTCAGTAACTATTAGCCCCATCAGAGCTGAGTTTAGCAAGCAGAAAGCTAGTAGCTGCTGGAGTCCCCAAGTCCAAAGGGCCCACCACCCTATCATCACCATCTGTCATCAGTTTACAAGAAGCCCCAAGAAGGTCAGAAGCAGCATGATGTATTTCTTGGTTTAAAAGGCCCATCTCTAGCAGGTTAAAGGGGCTTTTGCCTGAGACTCTCTTCTCTACTCCTGGAGCCAACACTGGGAGCTGTTCCCACCAGCGGGCATTGTCAGAACCCAGTGTACTGCAACACTTTTTTTTTCCTTTTAGACTGCAGGAATAGAGACCCACAGGTAAATATGTCTTTAACTGGTTTTCTTAAATCAAAAAGCTCAATTGTAAAGCTGTTCATTACATCTTAATAGATTTCAAAAAGGTACAAGGAGAGAGTAAAAATAGTTCTCCATGCAATTACTGTCCTTGCTTACCCACTACTAAAGAACAACATGTCCAACTGGGAGTTTATCAATAATATCTAGATACATTAGTGCATCAGATGCTACTTATGTTTATTTAGAACACATTAATAATTCCTTGGAATTGTAAAACAAAGTTTGATTCCAGTGGCACCTTTAAGACTGACAAAGTTTAATTCAAGGTATAAGCTTTTGTGTGCAAGCACACTTCTTCAGAACTTCAGAAGTGTGCTTTGCACATGAAAGCTTATACCTTGAATTAAACTTTGTTGGTCTTAAAGGTGCCACTGGAATAAAACTTTGTTCTGCTGCTTCAGACCAACATGGCTACCCACCTGAATCTCTCTCCTCATAATTGTATTTTACTTTTAAAAATTTCAAGTTAATGTTTTCTGCACCCTTGCACTGAAACCCCACCCTTTATAAACCAACCTTAGGTGCTATTTGTGAAAGCTGTTGTATGTCCAATGTATCTATTTCTTCTCCTGAGACGGCTTGAGAATTTTTGGAATACAACCCCAAACGATTTGCTGAAAAACAAGTTATTCTGCTTAGATGTTAAGAGGAAGCATACAATGAAGCAGTACATTATTTGATTCTCAGTGGATGCAACTAGGCCTTCTAAATTCTAACATTTTTGTTATTCTTTACATTAATAATGTTGCCATGAAAGTGTGCAGTGCAGCAAACAGACACTATCTGGCTTGTCTATCTATGTTCAAGAAGGAAGTTCAGCGCATGCTTACAAACAACACATTCTTAATTATACCACTTTACTAGCAAACAGTGTCATAGATGCAACGAACATGAAGTTGAGCAAACTTCAGAGGACGGCGGAAGACCGGAAGGCCTGGCGTGATCTGGTCCATGGGGTCGCGAAGAGTCGGACTCGACTGTGCGACTGAACACTAGCAAACATCATATAGCCAAAAATTATATACTGACATTAGCTCATAGAAGCATGAAAAATTGTGTGTGGTGCTCTTCATTTACACACACACAAAAAAGTCTTTACAATGAAGGGGTTTTTTTTTTTGGGGGGGGGTGTCATTCATCACAGGATGTCATCCAACCTCTATTGGAAGCGGTGCTGGAAGAGGTTCTGCCAGGAGCAGTACACTGCTTTTCCTCAATAAACTCAGAGGGGTAATGAAAATGCTAAGCCTCAAGAAGAAAACTGGTTGGATGCAATCGGAAGGGGTGGGAGGGAAGAACAGGAAAGAAAATTACCCTTAAGACTAACTATTCTGGTCAAGAGTAAATGAATTAAAAACGAGTCCAAGGAGCATAAATAAGGGATGTTGTGATGCCATCCTCCATCTAAGCAGGAGGAACATTTACAGCAAGTGAAACGTTTAGCTGTTTGCTCAGAGGGAGGTGGAAGAATCCTATAATGGGATGTATAATAGTCATGATTCAATCAACCCAAAAGCACTGGACTGCAGTGCTTATACAACTTACTTAGACCAATTTTATAATGCGACACTGGCAGTAATTGATGCTAGTGCTGCTGTGCCTCTTAAACAAGAAGCAAGACATTCTGTAGACAGACATTCACATCCTGTGGCTAATAAATCTCTATATGCTGCTGCTAATCATAAGGTAGGAGAAACATTCTACTACATTACCTTCACTAAAGGAAACAAACAAGAAATCCAGGTGCCTAGATTAAGCAGAGTGACTGGTCCCAGGTCACTCAGTGAATTTCATAGCTTAGCAGGGATTTGAATCTGCATGCCCTCATTCTAAGTCTGATACTCTGACTGCTGCACCACACTGGTTCAATCTTTGCAAGATGTACTGTAAGAGATCTCTGTATGCCTAGCATATTGTATTGTTACGCGGTTAGAAGGCTTCAGGCAAACAGATGCAGAAAACCCAATTCTTGCATACAATGAGAACAAGAAATAACCCTTGGAATAAGACTAGGGACTTGTCCTTAGGACTAGAAAATAAGAACCAAATCTAAGAAATTCTGTAAAAGATCTCAATTACTACTGCTCAAGAGTACCCTTTGATCACTAAACACAGAGAAACTTCATGGGTGAGCTCAAACAATAACACAGTGAGTACCCTAAGCAGTGACTGTAGAGGGCAAACTAAGCTTGTGGATTTAAAAGACATGCCCCTCCTGAGAACTCATTCATGCAAGGAAGTTTAGCCTCAGAGAGGGATCTGGCTTACTCAAAATCAATTAAATGGCCAAGACTTGCCTCTTCAAAGTTAGGCTGAAGGACCTCCCTCCAACAGATCCTCCTGTAAATGACAAACTTCTGTCTCAGTGAACTACATGCTCTTGCAGCTGCACCAACAGATGAAGGCTTTCAAAGCCGTTTCATAAAGTATACTGAGAAATCCATTATGCAAAGCCAGTAGATTGTCAACTACCTCACAATCATATCAGTTACACTGGACCTCAGTTGTTTTGTGGTGAATTGGAACCACTCCAGGTTTTGACTGAAAACTCATCCCACAGCACAATTTTTAAGGTGAAAGATCTCCAGGGAGTATCTGCTACCGTATCCGAGGTCTGGTAATTAGGACCTCCTGGACCCAAACAGAGTGATGAACGCTACCTCTGCAGTCTCCCGCAGACTTTTCAAGGGAGGCTGGATAATAGATTGAATGGAAAAAAGACACACAGAAGACCTCTCAGCTAAGAACTGGTTGGCACTGATCAATTCAGCACCACTACAGCTGAACCTGCAAAAGAGCCTACTCACCCTGTAATTGGATGGTGGAGCAAGAAAGTCAACAAGTATTCAATCCCATTTGCCCTTGTGGCCAATCTGAGCCAATTTGACTGAAAGTTATGATTCCGCCACTCCCCCAACCCAGACATCTTGCAATGATAGGCAATACTTCAGCTCACTGAAGAATGGATGCTTCAGAAGGGAGACTTCATGATCCTCCCTGCCATCCTCGTGCAGTTACATATCTCACATGGGCTTGTTGCTCAGAAACAATATTTGAAAGTCACAAGTGTCAAGCAACTGGCCTGAATCCAATAAATCTGATTATTGGGGAAGATTCTGTGCTCAACCAGACAGCCTCCTCCAAGGTTTTTCAAGTTGCTGGGCATTACACAGAACTTTGTAAAGAGCTCTCCATCAGCTTTATTCAGACAGACCTGAAGGCAGGCATGTTTTGACTGATGGAGGCAAGGCCACCACTAGAAGCCCTGGCAGACTGCTGGTGGAATGAACCATTTTCTTGTAATGCTTGGGCATGATAACTGTCAAACCCCACTCAGGAGACAGAAGACCATACAAGCTACCATGATCACAGCACTTGGTTGAAACTCATTAGGTCTTGGTTCAGACACTGGGAAGGTATCTGAACAGTCGTCACCATTTTGAAGATTCTCTGGCGTGAGGCCTCCCCATCCCTGGTTTTTTTCATGGCTTCAAAATCTCAGGACATTTTACACACCTACTATATCTATTCTCTCTAGTGCCAAAGCTGAATAACTGCTAAGTTCAAGTCTTCAACTAACACTTCATCTTGTCATCAAACTCTTACAAACAACTGCTAAACTTGAAGTAAGATGAAAGAAAAGTCTCTAATAGTTTTCTAAATTTCTCTTTAAGCCCAACAGCAATCAACAGTCTTGCAACCTCAATAAAGGCAGCACTTTTTTAAAAGAAACTTTTCCTAGCAGAAAATGAAGGCCTAAAGTACAGATAACTCACTCAGTGGCTCAGTCATGCCACATGTGACTCTTCTGAGCACCTGCCCCATGTTTAACAAAAGCGGCGACGGCCTTGCCCAGTGGTGCCTGTGGTTGGCAGTTGGTTCCCACCTCGAAATAGCCATCATAGGAGGAACAGACAAGCTGTGAGCCTCTCTGATGAACAGGCATCATGCCAGAGATAGAAGTAAAAATGGCTCTTTTGGTTGGTGATAAGTGCAAATGTGGCTCTCTGTGAGTAATAAAGTGCCATACTAGCCTAAAGCAATACTTTCAATAGTGTCTGGGAGGACTCGCCTATCAGACAATGTCCTCCTCCCTCTAAGTGATGTTTTTTATTACAGCGTTAAGAGGTTAGTGTTCGCAATCAAATAATATACTGCTATAATATTCATAATAGTGACAATGCAAAAAGTAGTTCAAAATGAGGTTATTCTTTTCCCATGGCGCAATCCAGAACAGCAAGGAAACAAATCTTCATTAACAGAGCAAGAATATAGCACTTCAGTTCTGCATATCTAGTTAAGCATTTGTGAATACTGGCCTAGATTGCTTTTAAAAAGCAACAGAGCTGTTTAGGCTCAACCAAGAGGCTTATGAACAAGCTAGTGTGCTTAAAATTTCAGCCAGTCTGAGAAACCCACCCCCAGTGCTACAACAAACTGCTTCTGAAATTGGTGTTGGTTTCAAAAACAGTTTGCAATACATTGTAGGCTCACAAAATAAACCAGAATCCATGAAACTGGTCTTACAGGTCTTTGGAAACTGGCCATGGTTCCAATATACCAGATGACTCTAACACTGTAGTATATCTGAGGGTAAGGCAATTACAAACTCAATTCAAGAGAAACAAAAAAAAATCAATTCATACCAATGGCAACTGCAGTCTCCTGTGAATCTCCAGTAATCATTTTTATCACTACTCCAGAAGTGATAAGTGTATTGACAGCTTCTTTTACGCCAGTTCTCGGAGGATCAATAATTCCAACCAGGCCCAGAAAGGACAGCTGCCCAAGCTCAGGACCAGAAGCTAAGGCCAGCACTTTCAAAGGGGGGAAAAAAAAGATTTAGATATTGCTCCTATTTCAAAGATCATCAGAATGGCACTGTTAGTCACTGCTTAAGCTCTAGAGAACTCTGCACCAACACACACATTTTCCCCAACAACAGTAACATTGCCATCTTTTCAGAGGCTCCAGTACACCATTGTACAGAAAGGGCAGGACTTTAGGACTTTAGTAAATCATAAGTAAAAGCTTTAGTAAATCATAAGTAAAATGTCACTTATGATTTAAATTAATCTGCTGAAAGCAATGCAGTGGCAGCAGGGACACATTTTCTGCTACCAGGACTGCAGGGGAGCACCAAGTGTGCTCCTGTCCTACATATTATCTTTCAGATTTTGGTGAAGAGTCCTCATATACGGCGCTTCTTCAGAAGTTTGACAATTGATATTCTTGCTGTTTTTGGAATTTCAGAAGCCTTGGACTGCAATCCAAGCTTATAAGCAGGATTTCATATTAACATCTAGATGTTTTAAGTGTCAACATCCATATAATTTGAGACCAACATGGTTCTTAAGAATGGAAACGAATGGAGGGGGGGGTGTGGCTTATTCACAGCTTTGTTTTCCAGTTTCTCCCAGGCTTAGCAGAGTAAGCAATTAGATTCCAAATGCTGTCCTTTGCTGTGAAGGCCAAACTGAAATAGGGTCTTACCTCTAAGTCCTGCAGAGCCCATGGATGCTTTCTCTTGCTGATAAAGATCTCTTTGTTGCTGGCTGAGAGGGAGGCTATGCACTTTGCTATTGTATGTTGTACAGTATCGAATCACTTCCTCATAAGCACCTTTCATGAAACAAATCTCTGGCTTGTCCTAAAACAAGAGCAAACATCTTAACACCTGCTGTCCTCTGCCTCAACTCTGTCATAGTTATAATGTCAAAGCTTTCTGTTTGCTCATGGTTTCTAATTAACTGACAACGTATTGCTCTAGAGAAGGAAAATCCCTGCACCTACATAATGGACCACATTATAGCTACCCCTAGATAGCATTAATTTGTTCTGAGAATACTGTGTATAAATATATACATACACACAAGATACACACTTTGGGCTAGAGTTAGCCTAAATTTTTCACTAACAGAAGGGGGAGGCATGATTTCTGCCAATTCCTCCTTCCTGCTGCAGGTCTCTAGCTTGCCCCTCATGACATTCCAGAAAATCCCCTGCCTCTCCTGAAGCAACAATTCAGAAAGATCAATGGGCTGCAGTGGGTAACAGAGGAAGCCAGAAATTTCTGTTCCGGTGACGGAAGTGTCTTCTGTTAGCAGAAAATCCAATCTGGATCCAGTCCATAGTTACTCTGAAGAACTAGGTTTGAAAGCCGTGAAAGAATGGACCGATGTGGCATAGGTGTCATTAGAACAATGTTTCTTGTCATATCAATAACACGTTGAGAAGGATCTGCGACACAACTTCCATTTTTGTTACTGGCAGGGCTATTTTTGGGCAGGAATGCACAGGAACGGAGTTTCGGCTGGCTCCTGAGTTGGCCACGCCCAGCAGGAGCTCATTAGCATAACAGGCCACACCCAACAGCAGAAACTCATTAGAATTGGCTACATTAGGGGTGTGTGGCCAAACATGCAAAGGAGTTCCTGCTACAAAAAAGCCCTGGGTTTTGACAACAAACAAGATAACAGAATAAGAAGCAAAAGATGGGTGCGGCTGAATGACCACACTTCTGGTAACACGGGGGTGTGGTCTAATATGCTAATGAGTTGTGCTATCAGGGGTGTGGCCTAATATGCTAATGCATTTCTGCTGTTGGGTATGGCCTATTATGCTAATGAGTTCCTGCTGGGCTTTTTCTACAAAAAAGCCCTGGTTGCTGGGTATGCTAACAAAGTTGCATGTTCTATCACTTGAGTGTCTACGAGAGAAAGGGACTGACCAGCTGGCACAGCTTGCTGTCCAGGACTAAGAAAATTCTGCAGCATTTATATACCTGTCTTGAAATAAATTTGCTAGTCTACTTAAAATTTCAGCCAGTTTGAGAAACTCTCTCCCCCACTGTATTTATTTATTTATTTATTTCTTCGATTTGATATACCGCCCTAACCCCCGTGGGGGTCTCTGGGCGGTTTACATGTGGGGTGCAAGTCACATTGAACCCTAACTAAGGCCACATTGATTCTATGGGTGGGGCTGCCTACCGGCACCCAGGTGGAAACAAATGGAGGGGGGGTGGTATATTAGGTAATTATATTAGGTATAATATATATATTATATTATACTGTATATTATATTAGGTAATTATATATAGTATGTATATTAGGTAATACCTGCTGAATTCCTTCTAGACCCATCTGTGGAAGAAAAATTATTTCATTTCAGTGTTCTGTAAGCACTCATCTGAGCTTGCAGTTAGCAGCACCTAACCATCAGTAGGTGGGTTACATTTTTCAGGATCAGAGTTGCGAGACAGACACTTTCCCAGTGCTTTGTTTGTCTGTCGAAGATGTCCCGTTTCTAAAGATTTACTGTTTCAGAACACTAATAGCCATGAATAACTGTCATTACCAATACAGAATTAGGCAAAGTTGACAATTTTGAAGTTTTAATTTATGTTTTTCAGGTGATTTATCTCTATGACTTGTGCAAGTGTATATTTTGTTGATCAATAAATACCTGGGGAGGGGAGGGGGGATAAAGCAAGAAATACATATAATAATGCAAATTTAAGCCAAAGCTTAAATTCTTATATGACTTCTCTCACATGGCAAAACAAATATTGTGACCACCAATCTGACACAGAACTAGGGGTGTGCAATTTTCTAACCAGTATTTTTCAGTTCGGGTCTATCAGACCGATTAAAATTTCGGGATTTCCACCCAATACTGATACAATATTCAGATCTGGGATTTTTCAGAAATCCTGAATTTTTCTCAAGTCCAACAGACCCAAGAAAAACCTGAGCTGCATGAGAAGCCAGCCCCAAGCTGAGCCAGCAGGAACAGTCTGCTTCCTGCTGGCACTGCTGATTCTCAGGCTGTCTTTTGTAGTCCCTTTAAACTTCAGAGGGACTGCAGTAGAAGCTTGACAAACAGCTGAGAGACGGGAGCAATCTGCTGCTGCCTCTCCACTGTTTTCAGAACTACCTGGTAATTCCTGAATATATCCAGGTTTGGGGGGATTCCCGCTCCCCCAGTTTTTCTGAGAAAATCCAGATACATTTGGGAAGCCGAAGTATAACCGGAAAATACCGATAAGGTATTTTTTGGATGTTTTCAGCTTGGGTATATCTGAATGCACATCCCTGTACAGAACTAATGAGTGTCTACTGAAGCATAACCACATCCATGGTGTATCATGCAGTTCCTTGAGTGTGCTAAAATCACTATGCAGAACATTTTCAGTGCCTTTCATTTTCTTAAATGTAAACAGAAGTACATACTATATTGTTTTTACATGTCTACAAGAATTGTTAAATAAAAATAAACCCCATATACAGCTTCAGTTTGAAAATAACAACTAAAACATACTATTTGTTTTTTCCTAATCAAATATTTCAGTTTTAAGTATTACTTGACATGAAATTAACATGGGACACTTTTAAATTTTTGTTTATTAAATGTAACTCAAAAGTAAGCAAGACATGCTCTATTCAGGGCATCAAAGTTTCTTCTGGAAAGTTTTCTGATTCATATTTTCCAGAAAGCACACATCACTGATAAAAATGTGGCTACAGAAGAGGCTGTTCCATTGCAGGGCTGGATTACAGAACATTCAATTCCTCTTCAGACACAGAAGTGGATATTAAACAAGTATAGTTATGAGAACAACATGGCAACATATTCTTCTCCCACCCTTACCCCATTTATATTACCATATGTTGTTCTTATTATGCTCTAGAACTATATTCCTGTTTATTAAAATGGTCACCCACATAATTAATGAAATCAAAGCAAAGAGGGCTGTTTAATTTTATTTTACGAAAATCCTCCAAATACCATATAAGCACCATACGAGAGTAGATAACTCTTTAGAGTGACAGGGAAAATATATTCTCACGGTGCTTAGAACACATTCCTAAATTGAAAATATCTGGGCCTACCCAATACCTGAATGAAAGCCAGCCTACAAATTACCATGTATGCCACACTCAGTCCCCAGCAAACTAATATAACCAACAATGTTGGTCTTCTTCCATATTAAGAATTAACTTTGAAATTCTGCCCATTGTGCCTAGTTAAATGCATGGCAGGTAAAGATATGAACAACATCCTAACCAACAGCTAATTAGACCAGCATCAGACAGTGAAGTGCAACTGGAAGTGGATCAGAAAAAAAATCTCACATTGACAAGTTCAGGCAAAATACAGCAACTTAATGTAAAGACGAAATATTTGAGGGCTGCTACTTCGATCCTTCTACATTCCAGGTTGAAAGTGCTCTGAACTCCACCTCTCACATTATACTTGGATCCATTTCTAAATCCACTCTTCTATTCCACCGACTATGTTTTCCAACACTACCTAGGGATACAACCAAACCATGCAGGAGAGCTTTTCCTTCCTAATGGACAGTTAAGGCCTAAGGTACAAGAATGTAAGAGTATCTTAACAGCCCTCAAAATTTTTGAATTGGTTCCAACCAGCTTTTCTGCTGGCAAAAAAGGAAGCAGGGGTTCTCTCTGGTCACCAAAATAGGCTATGCTGAGAATCAAGGGGCCGCATGCACAAAAATCACGTTGTATGAGGGATGTAGCAAGGAAGAGAATTGAGCAATATTGAGTGAAAGCTTGCTGGATATGTTTAAGTTATGGAAACATTTCAAAAGCCAACTACTTCTGAATTCATTATTTGGTATCACCTACTCAGCATTTAAAGTTTTAGTTATTTAAAAAATTATAACATTGAAATTAAAGTCTCATGTTGGTAATCTCTTTTGTTCCAGAGATAAATCTGTAAGAATTTACATAAAATTCTTGGAAATCATTAGCAAACCTGAGGCTGAGGAATATGGTCTCAACAAGTGTTGGAAAAGAAGCTGCCCTCTTTTGGTGTTTTACACTATTGATCTTGCCAGCAGACACCACCAGACTCCCAAGCTTAACTGAATTCCATATTTATGTTCTGTGATGTTACTCATCTCTTGCATTGCTTGATATCATACATTTGCTAGATCTTTCAGATGCCACAGATCTTTGTTCTGGCTGCCAAAGAGTAGAACAGCTTCCCTTCTGAATTATATAAAACTCTGCATTTAGCTAGTTAGGTTTCTTCAAGAACAGCTCTCAGAACTAGCACTGTTGCCCATCAACTCTGTATACTCCCTCCAATGCACACATACCTTCATAGCAAGCGCAATTAAAGCCCCTTCTGTTGGTTTTCCCATTAAGGTGTTGTTTTTAATTACGGCATCATTGCACACACACCCAGCCTGAAGAAGAAAAGTGGGGGAAAAACCTTAATGTAACATATGTTGCCCAAATTTCAAAATATGATATGCTTTTTAAGAAAGATCTTACCTCCACAATTCTGCTAACAGATGGAATGTTAAACCCATGAACAACATCACCATCAACAAGGACTTCTCCAAACCTGTTATAGCCAACTCCAGTAACCTATAAGATAAAGTGAACATGACGTTTGCAATATAGTAAGCATTTGATTTTTCCCCTTAAGACTTCAGATATGTAGGATAAAGAAAATTACAACAAACAATATTAACTGTGAAATATGCCCATGGAATTCCCTAAAAAGCATAAGATAAATTCATTTTTGCTCTATTTCTTTATATTTATTAGAGATTCTGTAGAAAGAGGTTTTATTACTCTGATCAAAGCAGATGGGAATGTTGAGGAAAATACCCATTTACTAAGCTAGTCACGAAACTAGAATTCATGGGAAGCTGCAGGTAAATTTCCCCTCTGGGTGGAAAACTTAAAAGAGACCAATTTTTTTCTGAAGTGGTAGCAGATTCTATATTCCCAGCCATGCTTCTCCTACATACATTTCCATGAGTTTAAAAGGGCAACACAAGTCTACATAAAACACATATTTTATCTAAAACCAGACTCAGTATTTTGCAATGCTTTCTAACCTGTCTTCTTCTAGAGAGCAGAAATGACCGTGAATACAGCCTGAATGAAAACATCAAATGCCCACCAATTTCCAGCCAGTCTCAGCTGTTTCAGTCATACAGAAAAAGACTAGAGAGGTTGATATGGAAACATTTTGAGAACCATTCAACTTATAAACCAAGCATGTGTGTCTATCCATATTCACATAAGTTAACTACACTTGAGATACCTCCTTTCCACATACCTCAGCATGTATCCCATCTGCTGTAAATATATGAGTAACAGTCATTTCATTCTTTGTCAGTGTACCGGTTTTATCTGAACAAATCACATTGCAGCAGCCTGAAAAGCATGAAGGAGGTAGTCACACAAAAAAGTTATAACGGAAGGGACTTTCATTTCAGCAAATGGATCAGAGCATCTTCCCTGAATCTCAAGAAACAAAGAGGAACTTCAGTCACGCAAGAGAGAAATAAGCAGCAAGTCACTCTCTTCTCCCCAGCCAGACATTCCCAGCAACCTTTCTCCTCTGATAAATCTATTTTTAGTGGAAGTTTTGCTACACATCTAAACGGTCCTTGATACCTTTCACCACAGAATCTGCATTCTCAGTTTCATTGATTTACTGAATTTGTATTCTGCTTTCCAGTGTTAATTTTAAAAGTGGTATGCAATTTTTTTTAAAAAAATGCAAACTAAAGCAGTGAAAACTAATGTTGAAATCAACTACAACAGCAATCATCCATCCCTAGATCTGAAAGCAGAAGTCAGAAGACTCCCTCTTAAACATCTGGTGCAGGATGGGAGAGGACAAGCAACTAGGCAGGTTGGGGAAAGAGGGGCAAAGAAATGGACAACTGTGTAGTTGGGCAAGGGGGAGAGAAGCAGAGTCAAAAGAAGAGGGGAGAAAAAGTGGGGCCAAGGAAAAGGGAGATGTTATCCCAGCTCGAGTATTTTATAACTGAGTTTCAACAGCAGTAATACAAAATATTTGGACGATTGTTATTCCAGTGAAGAAAGCTGATCAGATGGTAAATTACAAACTTAAAGATAAGACATTTCAGGACAAATCCCATGGATCCAATTATCAGGAGGAGCCTTCCCTGGACACAAGAGGCTCTTCCTTCAATAGGAAGGTTCCTTCTGTTAAAGGAAAACACCTTTGCAAGCAAAACAGATGTTTGTAACCAGCCCTTTTGTGTAGAAGCAAGATCTGCTTTTAGCAAAACACAAAAACATTCTTTAAGAATCCAAGTATCAGAAAAACTATATAAGCTATACATACAAATAATGGGAAAAAATAGTCTACAAAAATAAAAGTCCAGTATTTTAGCCTGTTTCTATAAAAGTACTGCATAGACAGACAGACAGACAGACAGACAGCTCCTTTACATTTCAAGGTGTTTCATCAGAAGTTATACAAATAACAGCAGAACACCCTCAGCCATTCACAGTAACGTATACGTTTTGGTTTACTCTTACCTAAAGTTTCCACAATTGGGAGCTTTTTCACGATCGCCCGTTTCTTGACCATTCGCATTACACCAAGAGCCAATGTTACTGTTACAACAATGGGTAACCCTTCGGGAATAGCAGCAACAGCCAGACTGCAATTTTAAGAGGAGGTGTTGATCACTGACTGACACACTTCAAAAGTTATGGGCACAGAATCAAGTTACTGGCGAAAGTTGGAGGGGTGGAAAGTTCCATAAAAAGCTTCACATCTTGCAACAACAACACCATGACCACACCCATTTCAGCGATGCAAGGCCCTGCAGAACAAAAGCTTCTGCCTGTTCAGAGTATTGACAGGAAGAACTGTCCTCACCTCACTTCACAGTGTCAAGTGGCCAAATCTGACTGACTGCCTGCAGAATGTAGCCATGTTGCCTACATAACCTTAATCTATTAGTGCCCTGAGAAACAGCTGCAAACAGCACTCAAAAATGGCAAGGGTGAACATGTGTGTATGTGAAGATTTATCCGTTTATTTATTATTTCCATTTAGTCTACATTTAGCCTGCCCTTCCTCCAAGGAGATGAAGGCAGAGTATTTTGACTCCCTCACCTTTTATCTTTACAACAACCCTATGAGGTAGGCAAGACTGAGAGGGGTCATGGGGGACTGAGAATTTGAAATGGGGTCTCTATTGTCATTACTGTAGTACTCTAACCATTACACCATACTAACTTTTTACTACAGGTGCGCACGCACACACAGAAAAAAAATCAGGATTTTTTGGATTCTGATATATTGGACCGTAAAAAACCCGGGATTCCTGAAAAAAAATCTGAATTCAGATTCAGGTTTTTTCAGAAATCCTGATTTCTTTTTGGCTCCATTATACCCTATGGGACCATTATAGTCAATGGGGAATCTATCTGGGGGTATCCAGTGGTCTGGGGATGCTGTTTTCTGCACAGCTTCCGGTGCCTCTCCAAATACTCACCAAGTTTCAAAAAGATTGGACCAGGGGGTCCAGTTCTATGGGCCTCCAAAGAAGGTGCCACATCCTCCATTGTTTCCAATGGGGGGTGGGGGAACCAGCAAAAAACCAAGGACTGATGTCAAACCAGAATCTGTGCAGTAGAAACTGAAGGTGCGGGGGATTTTTCCAAACTGAGCAGAACCAGTGAATGTACAGAGTGCCCCGCAGAACCAGTGCCACTGTTGCAATGCCAGCTCAACAAATCCAAGCAAGAGGGGGTTGCAAGCCGAACACAGACAGCACATGTAGAGTGCCCAGCAGAACCAGTGCGTGTACAGAGTACCCAAAGAACATGTCCCCAACCTCCACTGTTTTCAATGGAGGAAAAAAGATAGCATTAGGTTTTGCTGGGCACTAGTACACTGGGAAGGCACTGGGTTTTGCTGGGCACTAGTACATTGCACTGATACTGCTCAAGACTCTGTACATGCACTGGCTATGTTAGGCTTGGAACCACCTCTTGCTTGGATTTGTTGAGCTGGCATTGCCACGGTGGCATTGGTTCTACTTGGCACTCTGTACATACACTAGTTCTGCTGGGCACTTGTCTACATGCACTGGCTGTTCTAGGCTTGTAAAAAAAACCCTTGGATTTGTTAAGCTGGCACTGCAACAGTGGCACTGGTTCTGGAAAAATCCTCCCCTTCCAACTTCAGTTTCTACTGCAGAAACTCTCTGGTTTGACATCAGTCCCTGCTTTTTTGCTGTTTTTCCCTCTGTTGGAGGATGGGAGTGGCACCTTCTTTGGGGGTCCACAGAATTGGATCCCCTGGTCCAATCTTTTTGAAACTTGGGGGTATTTTGAGTAGAGACACCAGAAGCTACACTGAAAACGTGGGTGCCTCTACCTCAAAAAACAGCTCCCCCAGTCCCCCACATAGATTCCCCATTTTAGCTTCCGGGAATCATTGACTATGACGGTCCCCCCATAGCCTATAATGGAGCTGAAGGCATTTAAAGGTGTCACAGTCCCTTTAAATGTGTTTGTGAAGCTGCAGCTTCATCCAGAATGGCATTTAAAGAGATTGCACTCTCTAAACAATAGTGGAGAAACGGGAAATACGTTTTTACTAAAGTTCAAGAGGCAAGAGCAGATGGTATTGCCAGGTCTGTGGTTCAAACTGAGAGGAATCTTGCTGTTATGGTTGTGCAGGCCTCCCCCATACATCAAGCAGAGGCATTTGCCCAGAGGTACCATCACACCCTCAATAAGTCTCCATATGATGACATCTGAAGAAGCCAGATAAATGCCCGCTCACATTCTATTTAGAAAATTATAACCTTTGCATCTGTGGACAAGTTATATCTAAAAAGCCTCTACTATCATCACCTCCTTCATTTTAACAGGGCAGTGCACACAAGTAGTAAGTTAAAGACCAGGAAGTCCCATGGTACATTAATTTATTGTGACATGAGTTTTCATACACAAGATTTTATTTGTTAGCTATATGTAGCTGGTACTGCAGGGGCAGAAATATATATACATGAGATACAATAAAGGAAAGGGTATACAATACATGGTCCATTCAACGGACAACAATCCTCGCTTACAGGGTTAAGGCCCTCTGAGATTTTGTTAAAAGAATGAACCCAATTTAACTTTCCATGTGGCTAGAATTAGCTACCAAAGCAGCTGTTGCTTTTGAAGCTTTTGGAAACAGTCATCCTTAAGCTTTAAAAAAAATGGAAGGAGTGGGGTCAGACAGCAGCTTGCATTGCCTGAAATATTTTATGCAGCCCCTGAGAGGGTCATATGATATTTATCAGAAAACCTGACCTCCTTAAAGGTGATGGCCAGATTTTTCTCCAGAGGTCTCCAAACGAATTTGTTCGCGCTAATTTCTCTCTATATGGTTGGATGTCCATGTGTAAAATCATCTGCAGAAATTTTGCAAGTCAGTTAACCTTTAGTTTTGTCATATGTACATTTGGGACACTTTCCTTTATTTCAGCAGAGCTACTTTTGAGAGAATGAAGAGCAGTCTGCTTAGTACAGCTTCATTTCCTTAGTTCAACACTATGCCTTTAAATAGATGGGACTGTTTCTCAGCAGCAGCAGCCTGCTAACATTTATGCAGCCATTATTCAGAACTGCTCCATCACCCCACCCCTCCTGTCAATGACAGCCATTGATTAAAAGACCATTCTGTGGAGTCCCCAGACAAAGTGCCTGAGGTTTTCATTGATGCCCTGGAGACTAAATCCACCCAATTATCTGACAATGTTGAATGTCAATTTCTTGTGGAGTTCTTCAGTCTATGATATCCGATCAATTGTACCATGTACTACAGAGATTAAACACTCTCACCTCACACCGATGGTAAACATATCGAGGATATGTTTTCCTTGCAGCCAGCCAACCAGCATAATTATGCCTATAATGAAACATAAGTAATTGAACAGTAAAAGATGAAACTGAAAAGATCTCAAAACAAGCAGAAATCAAACTAGCAGAGTAGAAGCAGTGATCATGGGAGTTTTTAGCAGGCTGAGCAAGTGCAAAAAGTTATGAGCCAACCAAAAACCTTTCAGCTCAGTAACTTGAACTGAGAACAGAAATAAAGACTGGTCTCCTGAAGGCCAGCTTGGCACAGATGATCAAGCAAATAGCTCCTTACAGACTGATAAAACTTGAAATGTACATAAAATCAGTGTCGGGAAGAGGCCAGGGTGATCTCAGACATTACAACTATGTGTACCACCAATCAAAGTATACTGCCCACAGTGCTCTCCAAAAGCACCATTGCCATTTTATGTGACATAGGCAATGCACGGATTTTCTATGTGCATACAGCTTCACTACGCATGTATCAAAGCTATACGGCCACAGAAAATTCACATACTGCCCATTTCACATGAGATGGAGACCATCCGTATTGGAAGCATCACAGGTAGCAAGCATTCCTATTGGTGGGCTCCTAGTACATGCCGTTGTAATGTCTGAAAAGGACTACAGTCCTTAAGTAAACAGGCCTCATCATGCAAGGGAGTCAAATCAATACAATTTTCAACAATATTCCAGCTTGGGTTCAGTTAATACTGAGGCTGCTCTTGTGGCAGCCCAAAACCATTTAATTATCATGAGAACCAGTTTATGAATAACCAGCACATTATGAAAGCCCAATCTTATAATGTGTATAGCAAGGGAATACTTGCTAGTTTATCTTTATGAAGCATGCAAGCAATCTGAAACTATATTAAGACATCCGTTTTATTTTTCTCCACATCAGTGGAACCCAGATGGACTTTCGTGCAGTCTGGGACCTGCAACTATGATAGCTCTCAGGTGGTACAAAAATCGTTATACAGAGTATATCCCTTCATCACACCATACCTCAAGAAGGAGGGGGGAAACTCTCCCCAAAATTGGATACAGCCACAGCCTGTCAGAATTTATAATACTAGCCTAGACAGACCAGGAGTCTACCTCTGTCTGACTACTCTTTTGTATGTATGATTTCTCTTGAGGCCTGACTATCCCATACTTCAGCACAGTTTTTGAGAAGCTTACATCCACTATGAAAACTAGTCAAGCGGCAAAGAAATGGGATTTCCGCCTGCTTCTCAAGAGCCTCTGAAGAGATTGGAGAAGCTCAGACAATTCAACATAGAAAATTCTCCCAGATTTAAAATAAATAAATAAATAGTGTTTATATACTTTTCTTGTAGTGTTGACAAGCAGCAGCAGTTGCAGGTGTGTAGCTCAGGTTGTAGCCAAACCCACATCAGCTCTCCTACCAGAGACTTTTATTTTGGTTAGACTCAAATGCTTGTTGATATAGCCATAACTCAGGTACAGCAGTGTTCAAAATAGGTCACGTGCTGTTCTAGTTCAGGACAAAATAGTATGGACTGTTTCTGAGATCATATTGACCCATTTGCCTCTACAGGCAAAAAAAAAGCAAGCCTAAAAATATCCAAAGACTTGTTTTCCTGGAAGCCACTTAGCTATCAGGAGGAGTGCAAATCTCACAGACCGGAAGGGCATTTTGAACCCAAAAAGTAAAAAGCAACTCACTACAGACTTGAGAAAAAGGGAGAATTTGGATATGCAAGGTATCAAAAATCCACAATTCCCTAATATTTAAACTAGTTTAAAATGTGGTTCAAATAGCACTGGATAACAGAAGTACTAGTAGTTCTAGCTACAACACAGAGATAGTCCAGTGGTCCAACTTTGGGAGTTGGGAGCCCAAGTAAGTGGTTATTTTCTTACCAATTATCCCAAATGAATACAGGGAAAGTTGTTTCCCAAGGAGATCCATACTTCGCTGCAAAGGTGTCTTTGGAGCCTTAGTAAAAACAAAGAGAAAAACTATTCTATTCTGTTGATGCATGGACTTTATCTAGGTCCTCTTGAATAATGAATATATAGCTCAGCAACTGATATCATAGCACGTACCTCCCTCCCACAATCGCCGACCTGCCCTCTTTCACCATTTGTGAAAGAGCTCAGACTAAGAAGTGCACTCAAGGGGGGGGGGGTTCCTCTCAATCATGACTTCATACATTGGAGAGATTCTGCACCTGCCTGGATTCTGACTCTTCACTAAAGGCTATATGGCAGGGCATAAATATGCAAAGCTGTATTAGCACACTAACACGATTGTAGTATTGTAGACAGAAAGCACAAGACTAGTTTATTGGTCCCCATCTTCCCCTTCCTCTTCCAACAACAATGCCTGATGTTAGTAAATGAGCTTTAAGTCATTCATCAACAATAAGCTCATTGCAAAACCATCTAGCTTTGGGGAGAATAAATATTTACATTACTCTTTATTTACACAGCTACTTACTTCTTCTGCTTGCATCATTTTGAAAACTTCTCCAAATTCTGAGTTTTCCCCTGTTCCAGTAACTATTCCCTACAAAAAAACAAACCACATTCCACATTTAAGTCAGGGGGAAATTAAGGGTTTAGTTGCAGTTATGAAATAGTATTGACAACTTTGACAATACAAGAAGAATGACTTAAGTCTTGCAAGCTCTACTTTTTAAAATATAAATTCAAAAATCCATGTGGCCCAGCTCATTTAAAATGTGTAATGGAAAAAGTGCAGTCTCTCATCTGTGATCAATGAAATATACATGTTGTTTTGTGCTAATTTTGTTGCTGATTTAATTGCTGATTTTCAGTGTAAAACTTTAAGCTGCTATATTTTTGTTGGTGCTGGTTTTGTATCAATGCTGTTGTATTGATTATTTTAATCTTATAAACTTCTTGGGGAGCCGCTGAAAGATGCAACCTATACTTTAAAAACACCCAGCAAAATAATGAATCCCAGCAAGTCCTAATCAGTCTACCAGACATCAGCAAATAAGCCTGTGATCTACTTTTTGCAAACCCCTAACATAATCAGCGAACAAGTGTTACATACAATGCTTTAAAAAGTCAATGCAAATATGACATTTATAGTAGGGGCCCTTTTTTTACTTTAAACAACTTGATTGGCTATTAAATGGCAATTAAGACCTGGAAACCCAACACAAATCCTTAAAATTAGTGTCTGGAGCCAGTGACACTACATGCTCCAGGATCATGGGTTAGATCTTATGGTGGCATGAGGTATGGCTCTTTCTCTTTCCACAGGAGCCCTGAGCATGTCTCAGAAAGGCCTGGTTATTGTTGGACCCTTGTGCGAAACCAGCAACCAAGCACAGTGAGCCTGAGGGTACGGAAAATCACCCCAATCTTGCTCTCGTCCCACCATGCTTCCACCTTTCAGTGAGTTTGGTGCAGGAGTGAGGTAGCTGTGATTCTGTTTGACTCATCGTCATCAGTGCAGTCCCTCCTCCCCCACTTGGCTCAGCCACAGGGATCCCAGCAATATACTTCAGGAGGCCGCAGGAGGCTGCTGTGGAAAGCAGAAGATGCAGATCTGCAAGTGCCTTCTGCTCAACCACATGAAGAAGTGAGCAGTGACTCACAAAAGCTCATGCCCTGCCACGTATTTTGTTAGTCTGTACAGTGCCACTGGACTCTTGCTCTTTTCTGCTGCTACAGACAGACTAACATGGCTACCCATCTTGAGAATCCAACCCCATATTGCAATGCAACAGGAAACTGAAAAATGAATGCCTGCAGTTCAAGTGCATGGGGTGGCTATCCTGAGCACTTTAATAAATCCCTGGCCTTTAATAAATCCCTAAGTTTAGTGCCCTTGGTAGGAAATACCTTTGCCTTTCCGCATCGAACAAGCGTTCCCATGAAAGCAATATTGCTTCTCGAAGTGAGGTCTCCATTAGTAGCTGCTGGTTGAGGAGATGTGCACTTAGAGCAAGGGGTTGTCTCACCTGTCAGACTGGATTCATCAATAGAAAGATCCACAGCCTTTGAAAACAAATACATACATTAGGCAAAACAGCTTTATTAAATCTGCTGCCTTCTGAACTGTCAGTGTTGATTAAAGGTACTCACGCAGTGTGCGTTCTACCCAGCCTTCCTTTTTTAGGAGACAAATCATGTCAACAACAGAATTCAACTAGCATGCACTTTAATCAAGCACATGACAAGCTGCTTCTGCCAACAGGAGCTTCAACAGCAAGTGGCAATGTGGCATGGAAAGAACACCATTCCACTTAGCATGCCTGAGGAAGTTCTAGACATGGCCTATATTTTTAGGCATCAGTCTACAGACTACAGACTATAAAATAATCAAATTTTGTTTCTACAAAGTAAATAAGATACTTACAGGATTCTAGTCTAACCTTTGCATAGCCTTACTCTGCTTAGTTTCATATTTAGAGCTGAGCCCTACCGCAAAAATCATAAGCTGCAGGGGCAAAGACAATTTGTACACTATTCGCATAATCTGCAGAATTAGAAATATCATATTGGATTTTTTACAAACATATTGCCTTGCTGATTACTGCACCAGTTTGATAAATGAGACACAATGCTGCTGCTGTAAAAGCTATGATGATTTAGTGCTTGCATATGATAGGATTTTTCAAAGTCAAGAATATCAATTTAGAGCTACTGAGCTTAAGACTATTTCACCTTTCTGCTCCTGTGCTTCTCCCCTAAATTTCAGTCACAAAAGATATGGAAAGGGAAATTAGAATTTAACACTCTAAATTTCTAAATTATAGTGACTTAAGGATATCTCAATGCTACTTCTCTAAAAAAAATCCTAGGCCACTAACCATATATTCCCCAACTAGACACAAAAATAAGGTACATCAGAATCAATTACCAGGGAACTTAAAGCAAACTTTTTAAAAAGCCTTCAAAGTCTTTAAACCAACCAAGCCAAACAAAAATTAATCACAATCCCACATGAGACTGAAACATTGGCCTTTCTATGAAGGCTTTTTCTCTTCTGTGGAGGCAAAGTCATTCTCCTCCGGGTTATGCCTATTACTCACTCCAAAGCAGGGTTTATGCAAAGTAAATTGATCCCTAAGAGGACCAGTAGGAGGCTGACCTTCCCCGGTCCTGCCAAAACAAAGTTCCATGAAGGAGAACTAGAAACTAGAAAACTAACCAGGTTAAACTTCCTCCTGTGAAAGCTACTGGGAACGAACAATGTGAATGAACGATATTCAACTATGGCCTGAAAAAAAAAGAGATCCTGATCAGCCCCATATCAGGTGAGGCAAGGATGACTTTGCCCCCACTGAAGAGAAGAAATCTTCATGGTAAGTCCGCTATTTCATTCTCCTTCAGCGGGAAAAAGCCATCCTCCTTTGGGATATATTAGAGCTAAGCCATGTCAGGAGGCAAGGAGCTCAGGATAAGTGATCTGCTACTTGGTGAAGAATTCTGCAGCCAAAGGAAGCCTCTGCTGAGGTTGCCTTATCGATTTTATAACGCTTAACAAACGTTCAAAATGATGACCGGGTGGCTGCCCTGCAGATTTCATCAACAGGGGCCTTAGACAAAAATGCTGCTGATGTTGCTGCTGCTCTGGTACAACGTGCAGTGACCAACTCAGGCGCAGGCAGATGGAGTGCTTCATATGCTTTGAATATACAGTGTCAAATCCAATAGCCAATAGTAGCTTTTGAAACTCTCTTCCCCAATGTGTGGATACCATGAGACACAAACAAGGCATGTGAACAATGAAGAGGAGCTGTCCTTTTGATATAACACAGAGCCCTGCAAACATCTAATTTGTGCTACAATTTCTCTTTTTCATACACCAGATTTAGACAAAAGGAGAGTAAAATGACTTGTTGGTTAATATAGAAAGGGAACAAAGGACGGGTTTAGCCGGAGAATAATCACATTCTGCTGAAAGTGCTTCCCTTGCTGACAGAGCTGACAGCTCTGATATTCTTGCTGAGGTCATTGCTACAAGGAAGGAAGCTTTCCAGGACAGCAACCTTAGCTCTATTCTCCTCATAGGTTCCAAAGACACTTCGTTTAAATTTCAGATTGGAAACCTGTGGTGAACAGGAGACGACAACTCCCTGTATACAACATCTGATAAAGCTGTTGAAGGACAGGATTTGTCCGTACCAGGTTAAGAATAGAAGAAAATGCTGATAACTGCCTCCCTAAAAGTGTTTGGACAGAGGCCCTGGCACAGCCCATCATGGAGATAGAGGATTATATCTTTTCAGAAGGAAAGAGAGGGTCCGGGTGCTTTCTCCTATATCACCTGTGGAACACTCTCCAGATGAGTTCATAAATAAGGATGGGAGATGGTTTTCAGGAAACTAGCATGACCTCATCCACTTCCTTGGGAAAACCTGCTATCTAAGGCTCTCTATTCAATATCTACACGGCTAGTTGTAGCCATTCTGGCTCCAGGTGAAAGAGAAGGTCCATCATTGGCAGGATCCTCTGAGGTCAAGTCACTGACATGTTGATGGGATCCAAAACTCAAGGGCTCCTGGGCCAGAAGGGGGCAATCAGTATCAGTTGGGCCCCCTTCCCTCCAAACCTGTTGTAATCAACAGAAGGGGAGGAAACTCATACAGGAGACCCACAGGTCAAGGATGAGTTAGAGCATCTTCTCCTTGAGACATTTTGAATCGAGATAAGAACCTGGGGACTTTGCAACCACCTAGAGTTGAGAAGAGATCTATGCAAAGATTCCCAGAGTGACGCACTACAGCTCTGAAGACCACTGGATGTATGCACTGGACCATTCCCCTGGGTCTATCTGATTCTGTTCAACAAGTCAGCTTCTCTGTTCAAGGAGCCCTTGGAGGTGCTGAGTCTGAACACTTGCAAGGTGTTCTTCTGCACAAATCAGAAGCAGAGTTGCCTCTTTCTGTAGGGTAGGAGATTGTGTTCCACCCTGATGACTGATATGTGCTTTTGCTGTGATATTGCCTGTCTTGACTAGGATTTGCTTTCCGGCCAGCAGATGGCTGAACACCAGTAGGGCCAACTTGATTATATGCAATTCTTGTCAATTGATGCTGTGCACCTGTTCCATTGTTGTTCGCTTCCACTAACTGACCCAGGCAATGGGCTCCACAACCCAGAAGACAGGTGTCAGTTATCAAGACCAGAGAATCCAAACAAATGAAGGTTACTCCCTTGTTCAGATTGTTCCTATTGCACCACTAAGCCACAAATCTGTGTAAGGCTGGTGAAATTGGGATTCTCCTGTGCTGACTTAGAATGTTCTGTTGGAAAGGTAGTAGATGGGACAAGAGTGAAAACAAGCCCACTGAACTATGTCCAAAGCCAAAACCATGAGGTCTAGAATTTTGGCTAGGACCATGGAATCCTCTGACCTCTTGGTTGTGAGGTTCTGAGCAGCCTGGATTAGTTTTTACTGCTTCTCCTTAGTAAGAAAGACCCTTCCCCAAGAGGTCACAATCCTTGCTCCCAGATGGATGATGAGGTCAAAAAATTACCTTGGTGGAGAGCCTCTAGAATGGATCTGAGAGATCCCATTCAAAATTTGGTTTGATGGCCATCTTTGTTGAGGGACTTCAGATCCAGGTTTGCTCTCCATTTGCCCAGGTTCTTCAGCACCAGGAAAACAATGGCATACACGCCTTTGAAAAGCTGATCCTGAGACATTTGTTCCATGGCTTCAATTCATAACAAATGTGCTATGGCCTGAAACACCAGGGAACACCACTGAGGATTCTTGGATCTGGGAGAAGGATAAACCTGAAGGAAGGAAGGTTTACAAATGCTATCTTGTAACTGTACTGAGAATAATTTTCCTGACCAGTCTGTCCTGTTTTAGATCAGATCTAAACTTGGTGGAATAACTGAAGTCGACCCCATATCATATATAGTCAGTTTTGCTAAACTGATTATTGTTTGCTCTGGGCTGACTGGAAGCAGCAGGCCAGGACTTGTTTCTCTTCCACATTATGGCCTGTAACTTCTATTGTCTCTATTGAGCCCTTCCCCTGAGAGATAAGCAGAAGGGATCAAAGGAACCTCATGATCCATTCCAAGGGTCCTCGTCTCTAACAGTGGAAGAGGTGCTAGATAACCTCCTTTTCCCTTTGGTTTCAACCAAAACCTTTTCCAGAGCCAAATCCCTAAAGAGCTTCTGGCCAAAGACTTTCTTAGTCGAGAGATTAGACTTGGAAAGGAGGTCAACCTTCCAACATTTAAGCCACAGATTGCAGCGAATAACAATGGTGGCTGCTTGAGCTCAGGCATCGAACTGTAGGGCATCCTGAGACGTCCCCGCCATGATCTCCACCACCCTTTAGATCTTCAGCAATGTCCTTTTGCAGGTGAGGGGATCTGGGTTCAGGTTTCGCAGAAGGTCATCCACCCATACCTGCAGACACCGGAGAGAACTGCAGAAGACCTAATCACTAGGAAGGAGGCTTCGTGCAGCTTATTCAGTGCTACTTCATTTTCTCTATTTCTGGGGCCCTTTAAGGCACTGTCTCCATCCTTAGGTAACACAGCCCCAGAATGCAGAGCTACCACCGGAGCATGACCAAGGGGACTTTTAAGTCCCACATAACAGAATCAGGAAGGGGGCAGAAATTTTTAGCTACAGTAAGCAAGCTGTTCCCTCAGCTAGGTACAGCCCATTCTGCTCTCATAGCCTCCTCGAAATGCTCAGGGAAGAAGCAAAGAGATGAAACCGAAACAAGTTTCTTAAAGCCTCGCTTGCCTAGATTGGAAGACGCTGAGGATTTAACCTGATCTGTGGAATCCTGTTTATAGGTGAGTGTTTGAATGACTTTGGGTAAAATTCTGGTAAAGCATTCTGCCTGGAGTAAACTACTGGAAGTTTCAGGGGCAGGGATGTTCCCCCCTGACCACTCTGCCTCTTTGCCAGATAGAACAGACTAGGCTTTTATTACTGTCTTTCCTTGTTACACCCAGTAGATGGCGGTGGCACATCATACCCATTGGGCACACGCTGATCGCCTTCAGAAACGGTAGATACAAAAGCCCTATGAGAGCGGGCCCTTCCCTTGGTCGCTGTCTTGGGCTCCAGAGAGGAATCTGAGGATTCACCAGATGATCAGACAGGGAACTCAGCACCTTTTCTGCACCTGCCAAGATACCTTTTTGATGTATAGGAAGCCTCCTAAGAATCCAAGTGAAGGGTGTGTTGGTCGCCACAGCACCTCCTACGGGGACTGCTCTCCTGCTTTTTTCCCCTTTGGAAACCACCTACTGCTGAGTAGAACATTACCTGGGAACAAAGCCCCGCTGGCCAGAGGTTGCTTCTGAAGCCGCAGGATTGGGCAGACATGGCAGAAAGGGCATCTAAGGGAGTCAGTCCTGTGAAGCCCTGCTGTGACCAAAGGTGCTTGTTCTTAGCTCTGACCTGGATAGCCCAGGCAAGCCCGGTCTCATCAGATCTCAGAAGCTAAGCAGGACTGACTCTGGCAAGTACTTGGGTGGAAGGCCTCCAAGGAATACCTGGGCTGGGACACAGAAGCAGGCAATAGTAAGCCACCTCTCGGAAACGAGGTCGCCAGAAGTCAACCATGACTTCCAGGTATACACATGTACACTCACAAAATACAAAAAAGAAAAGAAAAGAAAAGGTGCTTGTTCTTGTCAGGACGGGTATCCAGCAAATATGACATCTATTCCCACAGGAACAATTGAAAGTCTCACATTATTGCCTCACAGTTGGCTGTTCTGAGCAACAGGGCAGCTGAAAAGTACACCTTTCTCCCCAAGTCATCCAATTTACAGCCCTTTGTATCCACAGGAGCTGAATGATAGGATACCTTCTGCTTGCTGTGGGAAGATTCCACCACAAGAAAGTTGGCCCTAGGGTGGGAGAAAAGGAACTTGGCACCTTCCTCAATCCTATATATGGACTCCACTTGACATGTTGAGGCAGGCTTCTGCCATAGTGTAGCTGACAAGTCCAGTAGTTTCTGTGACGTAGAGAACAGCACTTGCAATCCTATATATGGACTCTACCTGACATGTTGAGGCAGGCTTCCATAGTTTAGCTGACAAGTCCAGCAGTTTCTGTGACGTAGAGAACAGCACTTGTCCCAAAGATTCAAGCTGCAAGATTCTGGACACAGGGTCAGTAACTTTCAGAACTGATGAAGACACGTCAGTTTCAAGAAACGGAGCCATCCTCAGCAGCTGCTCTAAGCAGAGAGGCAAGCCCTCATTGAGAGATCCTGGTGGGGGATCTCCATCATGCCATCAGGGGATGGATTGGTCAGAAGCCATCTTGGACTGACGTTGTCGTCATCGGACAGCAACATGTTGGAACCCACAGACGAATATGAAGGAGACCAATACTGTCTTGCTCCCAAATGCCAAACCCAGTGACACAGCTGAGATAGCGATTCATGTTGACATCAAGGGGAAGGCAATGGAGAGAACTAGCCAAGGGATAGTCCAGGATTTGGGAGGAGTGATCCTTAAGCGTTGGATCCAAATGAGATTGATGGCCACAATTCCTGTAGGCTCATTTTCTTTTAAACAGTGGAGAGCAGCTAGTGCTAGCTGACTCAACGGATGAACAGAGGAACTCTTCTAACCCCCTCAAATGGTCAGAGCCAGGTAAGACCTTAACTTTAATCTCACCCTCGGCCTGCGAGACCACCTCCAAGCCAACTGGATCAAGATTAGGAGAGGATGTATAAGGACAATGAGTGGGCTCTGGAAACTTCAGGGGAAGACCTGCCATAATGGAGGGCACCAGGGTGGCTGAAGCCAAATAGGCCTTTCTGCTGGTCTTATCGTGTTCATCCGTGGATTTGGGCTTCTTGGCTGGAGTTTTGGAACCTCTGTTTGACAGGATCACAGGAACAGACTATCGGAAGGCCAAATAGGCCTTTCTGCTGGTCTTCTCGTGTTCATCCTTGGATTTGGGCTTCTTGGATGGAGGTTTGGAACCTCTGACAGGATCACAGGAACAGACTATCGGACCAGAGGTGGAACAGTGCAGCCTTTCAAAACCAAGAAGATGGAACCAGCCTAAAACCTCCGCTCCGAGAGGAGACATAGACACTGGACCCCTTGTGTTACCTGTAGTCAATAAAGCCTTTTTCCAAACACCTGCATTCAGTCAAGAGGCTCTATCACGCCTGGCCTTTGGGTGAAGTGCTTGCAGACAGAGCAAGCAGAGACATCCAGAGGGACACAAGAGGCAGTGAAAGTGGTCCTTAGTTTATTTATTTGCTGTCATTTATAGTCCACCTGTCTCACTGGCACTCATGGTGGATTACAAGTATGACAGAACTACTCAGTCAATCAATAAACCAGTTTCAAATGTTGCTGTTCAGCTTTGCGTCTTCTCCCCATTCTCCCCACCACCACCAGTTCATGTCTTTCCTAGTTTTATTTTGTGATAAAATTTTGCTGTTCAGCTTTGTGTCTTCTCCCCATTCTCCCCATTCTCACCACCACCAGTTCATGTCTTTCCTAGTTTTATTTTGTGAATTTAATAGTTTTTTTTAATCTTTAGTACAGCATTGGGTACACTTTCTAAATAGTGCCTTTCAGGCCATTTGAATTCACTTCATTAAGAAGTCTTCTGACTGTGAAAGAACAGAAGGAAAAAGAACTATAAGAGACAACAGCAAAATCTGGAAGCTCCACCCTTCACAGCAGCGGAGGGAAGTATGCCCTCTAGAGCTTTGGAAAGCTTTGGCAGCATCTACTGCAGCAGGCCTGTGCAGATCCCAGATGTGGGACAGTGATCACGACAATAAAAGTCTCATTTCTTCTGCAAGTCAACGTAGCCCCCATGAAGGATGAAAACTTTTTGCGGGACATTATATTTGTATATGGGGATACCATGAGGCAAGAGATGTTTTATAGAACAAGGTGTTTCCAGAGATAACTGGGATTCAGGCCAGGTCAAACACAATACTTAAAATGGAGCTCAGAAGCAAACCAGCATAAGTGTAGATTTAAGAAGCACATTATTGATAGTCCACCTTTCTCGCTTGGACTCAATGCAGATAACACAGAATGAGTCAAGACGCTCACAATATGTGAGAATGCCAACTCAAAGCTCATGAAGAGATGAGCACCAGTATTTGCCTGCAGTTTCCAAGCCATCTTCAAGGGCAGTCTCATATATTGTGCATTAATATTACCTGGATAACATGAGCTTGTAAATCTATGTTTATTTTAAGAGTTCTAAAACTAATACTGATCTGGGCCTTTGCTAAAAAAAATAATTGAATCCAGAACTGCTA